AGCTTTAGCTCTGAGGCTTGGCTCCAGCTCTGAGGCCTCGGCTGCTGAAAGCAGGTATCTGGTTTGTTTGGGTTCTGTAATCGAAACACTGTTTCAACCCCAGCTCTGAGATCCCAGCTGGCAGAAAGCAGGTTTCTGGGGTTTTGTTTAGCTTCTATATTTGTAACAATGTTTCAAACTGCAAGCTCAGAGGCCGACAGCGGCAGGCGGGAAACGTTAGCTTCCATCGTCACTGAAGCAAGCAAGCCTCATGTTCGCTTCAAGCTGCCTGGCTGTCGGCCGCCATCTTGGCTGGCAGTTAATTTGCATTTCGCCCTGATTAGCCAATGGGAAGGGTAGCGGAGGTACGGCTAATTACCATGTTTCTCTTTTATTAGATAGGATAGAAGCCTGCTGCATGGGTGGGGGCCGGCTGGTTTGCCTTGAAGGGTGTCCCAGATCAGGGTGGGGGTCCCACTGCGGTGCCTGGCCAGCCTGGGTGAGAGGCTGATGGCTGTTTGCAGCTGATCACACCCCCTTCAGGGTGGGAGTCCCCACTGGGTTTCCTGGCCAGCCTGGGTGAGGGGCTGATGGCTGTTTGCAGGCTGGTCATACCCCCTTCAGGGTGTGGGTCCCCACTGGGGTGCCTGGCCAGCCTGGGTGAAGGGCAATGGCTATTTGCAGGCTGGTCAAACCCCCCGCCCCCCCAGTGGGGACCCTCACCCCATGGAGGTTTGGCCAGCCTGGATGAGGGACTGATGGCTGTTTTCAGACTGGCCACACCCCCTTTAGGGTTGGGGGTCCCCACTGGGGTGCCTGGCCAGTCTGGGTGAGGGGCTGAGGGCCGTTGTCAGGCTGGCCAAGCCCCCCGGCAACAGAAGCTCCCAGCCTCTCCTTTTTTTCTTTTTTCTTTTATTCTGGGATTTACCTTATATAATTGAAACTTTGTTGCCTTCAGTGGAGCTCAGAGCCCCGGGGCAGGCGGGAAGCTTGGCTTCCTGCTCGCTCCAGCTCCGTGGCCATGGCCAGCTGAAAGCAGGTATCTGGGGTTTATTTATCTTCTATAATTGAAACTTTGTTGCCTTTAGTGGAGCTCAGAGCTGGCCAGGAAGCTTGGCTTCCTCCATCACTGGAGCAACCAAGCCTCCTGCTCGCTCCAGCTCCGTGGCTGCCGGCCGCCATCTTGTTTGGGCCAGTTTGCATATAGTCGCTCTGATTGGCTGGAGGGCGTGTCTTAAGGTGTAGCAAAGGTACAGTCAATTTGCATGTTTGTCTTTTATTAGATTACATTCCCCCTGCCTGGGCAGATACTCATTTCCCAGATAGTTTTCTCCATTTAGGTCTCTACTCAGATATAAACACCTCAGAGAGGCCGTTGTTGAACATCTTATGTAAAGTATCCCAACCTCTTCCCCGTCCTTTCCCTTTTAGTCACTCTCTGGTCCCTTTCTCAGTTTTATATTCTTCATGGCATTTGTAATGATTTCCTGGCACTGCCTGTTTTCTTTGTCTCCTATCTAGAATGTCACCTTCCTGAGGGCAGGGACTGTCTCTCTCTCACCCAATGTTTCCTCCTCAATGCTTAGGTCAGTGCCTGAAATGCAGTAGTAACTCGGTGTATGTTTGTTAAATGATTTAGTTATTTGCTTTGAGGCTTTTCTTTTGAATACATTTCCCAGGTTTAGCTTATAGGATTCCCCTTCAACTGGCCTTTCTATTACATTTGACCTGTCTCATCATTTTTTGAACATTTTCTTCTTGACAAGCAAGTAGTCCAGGCTCATCTTGTACTTTCCTTGCCCTAACCTCCAGATTAGCTCTTTTCCAGAGAACTCTATTTTTTAGTGAATAATGGTATTTAGAAGCCACAATCTGGATGCTAGGTATGTTCATTGGTATTTGAATGTTTGTTCCTCAAGCCCTCTCAGTAATAGAGCTAGGGTGTGTGTGTGTGTGTGTGTGTGTGTGTGTGTGTGCGCGCGCGTGCGCAGACATATTCCCCACTTACACACAAGGGATATGTTCCAAAATTCCTGAAACCATGGAGAGTGCCAAACCCTATAAATTCTATGTCTTTTCCTAGATACACTTTTTCACTTAACCCATGTACTTTACGGCTTCTCTTTAGCTAACATCACTAACCTGTGATATGGGGCAATTATTAAGTAAAATAAGGGTTACTTGAACCCAAGCACTATGCTACAATGACAGTCGATCTAATTACTGAGGCAGCTACTAAGTGATTATTAACATGCAGGTAGCTCAGAGTATATTAAAAAAATAAACAGGAGTTCATGCCAATAATTAATTCAGACCCAGCTCCACAGGGTGCATTCTCTCTTTTCATTTTGGTAACTCCTTTTGCAATGGTGAGAAACCTAACTTTCACTATCCTTAATATATTTATTTAATTTTTCTTATTTTTTTTTTTTTACAGAGAACATTTTATTTTTTTGCTCTTCACCATTAATTCCCTCTATACCTTCAACTATATTTATTTATTGATCAGACGCCCTTTGTGTAACCAATCCTGCATCACCACCACCTAGATGCCTTCCCTGCATGGATGCCTTCTTCACTCTGCTTGGGCTCTGCCTCAGCATTGGGATATTTTAAAGCTCCCCAAACAATGCTAATGTGCAGCTTAAATAGAGTACAACTCAGAAAAAAGTGAACCCCACACTATGTGATCCTTTATTAAGTGAATGGCAGGTTTTTAATTCAGGTTTGGTTTTAGAAAATAAATTCTTCCGAAGGAAGTGAAATTTAAAGAGAAGATTCAATTCTACCAATATACACAGTAGAAGATCAGAGTGAAAGCACAGCCTGTCTCCTGGGAAGCTTTGTAAAATATTTGTTTTGGAAGTAAATCTGCTTGCATGTGAACATGAATTTCAATTCCTTTCCCTAAATTACCTGTTTATAGGAAAAAATACTTGAAAAGGTTAGTTTTGTAAGAATGTGTCTCATTAAAGACTTACCGCTTCTTTTACATTGCATTTTATAAATGAACTTTCAATTTTAGAGTAGATTTAGAAAAATGCAACTTAATACTTTTTAAAGCATCATTTATTTAAGTAGGAGATATTCATGCTGTGTTTGCTCTTTCTCAGTAATCAGTTGCACTTTAAAATACGAAAACCAAGTTATAGTATCTGAGTCACGAGGAACCCCATCTTCTTCCACTCGCATCTAGAGGAAGCAAGAGGCTCTAGGAACCAAATATAACAGGATCTGTGGTCAAACTGCCTTAGGTGGTCAACATCCATCTTGCCAGTTTTCGTAAATCCATTTTCTTAGCATGGCTGCAAGTGGGCTTCACCAAGTGCTCCACGCTGAGCCTGATGTACACATAATCCGACTCCAAAGAAATCCAGCTCTAAACCTAAGAAGAAAAGTTTTCATGGAAGTTACCTGTAGAGTGTGAATTGTGCACATTAGGCTTTTAGATATTTATGCTCAGATGTTATACAAGGAGAAATGTGGATGTGGGCAGAGCCACCGAACTTGACATGTAGGTAAAACATTTTTTTCCTGTTGTTGTTTGATTTATGTAAGTACAGCATTAATTACATATTCATGAGAGCTCACTTGGGGTTGGTCCTCAGTTCCTTCTGTATGGGTAAAGTGATTCCCACTCCCCAAACTTGAGTCCTTCAGGAACCATCTTTGTGATTTTTGCCGCATATGCAAACTTTTACCTTAACGTTTCTCTTTAATTTATCTGACTTTTAGCTTTTTCCTAGATAATATCTGTGAAACCATGGATTTGATGTGTTGATCCCCTAAAATCACCAGTACTGTTTGGTACTTGGGAACCTGGGAACTACCAGTATATCTCCAACTTGCCTTCAAATTCTGAAATTCAATAAACAAGCACCTGGGGTCTCCTGACTTGAACTTTGAAGTTACAGCAGTGGTTGCTTGCATTTTTCCCAGTTGACACATAACAGTGAAAGTTGGCATATCTATACTAATAATAGGGTAATGTGCTAATTAGACTGGGTGAACCAGACATCTTCCAGTCACCCGGTCCTCCTTTTAGACAAAGCCATGGTGGCAGGGACTGAGGCAGAGGCGGTTAGGGGCTATCATGCCAGCAGGGGAGCAGTTAGAGGTGATCAGGCCAGCAGGGGAGGGCGGTTAGAGGAGATCAGGCTGGCAGGCAGAGACGGTTAGGAGCCAGCAGTCCCGGATTGCAAGAGGATGCAGGCCGGGCTGAAGGACCACCACCAACCCCCCCCCCCTTGCATGCATTTCATGCACTGAGCCTCTAGTATATATATAAAATATTATATTAGAATACATGTTGGGTTATATTCTGTAATATATTAGAATATTAAATTTTAAAGTTACTTTTCAAATATGAGGTATAAATTACATTATCTTAGTTTCTTAAGATTCATCACATTTCTTTAACTGGGATGTTTATTATTATGTATCATTTTTATTTTAATAGAGGAGAGCAAAACCTGATTGTCCTGATTCAGGTGTGCCAGGAAGATGCAACGGTGAACTCACCCAATAAAAAGTACCTGATATATAGGATACTCAGCCTTAAAAACACAAGATATAGGACATAGAGTATTATGTTAATCACTCTGAAAATGTTTTGGGAAACATCTAAATTATAAATACCTTTGTGCCATAATTGAATTAATATAGTCTATGTATAACATAATTTGTGAAGAATATTGCCAGAAGAAGCCAATTGGATATTGTCATATATTCACATCACATTCTTTGATGAGTGGAAATACATTAATCGTGTGTGTGTGTGTGTGTTCTTTTAGGAAGATCTCAAAAAAACTCACTTTAATGGACTTCTTTGAAGCCAAACTTAATGTCATGTTTTGCAAAAGGGGCAACAAATCAAAATTAGGGATAACTAAATGTGGTTTTTTGCATTCTCTCAGTTTAAGTAAAATACAGTGTTCTACTCAGTCACAGAGATGAATTGTTGCATTACATACTATCTACAAGCAGATATTTAACTTTCTGGTCTGACATTTCTTTAACAGAGAGAAGGAGCAAGAAAGGGAAGAACAGTTAATGGAAGACAAGAAAAGGAAGAAAGAGGATAAAAAGAAAAAAGAAGCCACTCAGAAGGTGGGTTTATTTAGTTAAGTTTATTAAATAATGCTGCAGCTGATTTTATCAAAACAGCAGTAAACAATACAGTAAACCATCAATATAATGGGCTAATTTGGACAAGGGTGTGTCCACTAAAGTCAAAAGTCCGTTATTTAATAAAATAGGTTTTCTGAATGCGTATGTTAAAAATTTGACTAGTTTACATGTTTTTACTTATGTAGACACATTTGTGTAATTAAAATTAAGTATGCATGAAAAGTTTAATTTCACAGAAAAGTTTTCTATATGTATTATAGTAATTTTAAATTTTTACTGAATAAGTCTAGTAATGCATGCATTCTTTAGTCACCACAAATAAACAAATGCACACGGCTGGGGCGTGGCCTAGCACAGGTCTGAACATCAGCAGGCTCAAGTTAAACTGCTACAGAGGAAGCCAGCTTATCTCAGATGCCTAAGCCTGGACCAACCAACTGTGCCAGGAAACAAGTTAGAATAAGGCAGCTCTGAACAACACACCTTGAATGAAGCTGCAGCAAAGGGAGGTACAGAGAGTTAGGGGTACTAGACACACAGTCCCGTGAGGGCCCATGATCTTTTCTTTTGTAGTTAATCTTTGATACTGGCTAAAGAGATAATCAAACCAAGAAATTGCAAAGCCTAATTCAAAGTTCTGGCCATTTTAATAAGCTGCTATGTAATCTGACTAATCAATACAGCTATTTGACAATTGAAACAGACCAGATGAGCTCCAAAAACATCACCTCTGTGATGCCAAACTCAGTCTTCCTCCTCCTCTAGATTTGGTTTATAGAGTGAAGCTATGTTCTAAAGTTATTTTTTTTATAATTACACTAGAGGCCCAGTGCACAAAAATTTGTGCACATGGGGGAGGAGGGGTCTCTCAGCCCAGCCTGTGACCTCTCACCGTCTGGGATCCCTCGGGGGATGTCCACCTGCTGGCTTGGGCCCGCTTCCTGGGGGATTGGGCCTAAGCTGGCAGTCAGACATCCCTCTGGCAGCCTGGAAGCCCTCGGGGGATGTCCACTTGCCAGCGGGGAGCAGGCCTAAGCTGCAGTCGGACATCCTTAGCGCTGTTGAGGAGGCGGGAGAGGCTCCCACAACCACCGCTGTGCTGGCAGCTGGCAGCCTGGCTTGTGGCTGAACAGAGCTCCCCCTGTGGGAGCACACTGACCACCAGGAGGCAGCTCCTGCATTGAGCGTCTGCCCCCTGGTGGTCAGTGTGTGTCATAGTGACCAGTCATTCGCAGTGGTTCTGCTGTTAGGGTCAATTTGCATATTACCCTTTTATTATATAGAACCCTGGTGCACGGGGGGGGGGGGGGGGGGTTGGCTGGTTTTCCCTGAACAGTGTCCTGGATCAGGGAGGGGGTCCTGCTGCGGTGCCTGGCCAGCCTGGGTGAGGGGCTGATGGCTGTTTGCAGGCTGGCCAGACACTGAACGGGGACCCTCACCACATGGGTATTTGGCCAGCTTGGGTGAGGGGCTGAGGGCTTCTTTTGAGGCTGGCCACAGCCCCTTCATGGTGGGGGGCCTTACTGGGGTGCCTGGCCAGCCTGGGTGCGGGGCTGAGGGTTATATTCAGGCTGGCCACGGCTGCGGGCTGGAAGCAGGTATTTGGGATTTATTTATCTTCTATAATTGAAACTTTGTAGCCTTGAGCGGAGCTCAGGGCCGGCAGGGCCAGCTGGGCAGGCGGGAAGCTTGGTTTCCTCCATTGCCGGGGGCAACCCAAACCTCCTGCTCACTCCAGCTCCGTCGCCACCGCCATCTTAGTTGGGTTAATTTGCATATTTGCTCCTGATTGGCTGGTGGGCATGTGGGTATAGCGGAGGTATGGTCAATTTGCATGTTTCTCTTTTATTAGATTAGATTGTTCTCTCTAGTGAATTGAATGCTGGATTTTTTATTATGTAATAAACTGGTATATTCTGGATTCATACATATTTTTTAATAAAAGTGGCATTCACACTATTAAAAAAGAACTGCTGCAGAAAGTCACACCCGTTGACAATAAAACCAGTTACCGTGCTCAATATGTGGTGTGATCACATGCTAATCATTCACCAGGCTTTGTTTAAAAGTTGTGACCATTGATTTAAGTATGTAGACCAGTGATGGCGAACCTATGACACGCATGTCAGAGGTGACATGCGAACTCATTTTTTTGGTTGATTTTTCTTTGTTAAATGGCATTTAAATATATAAAATAAATATCAAAAATATAAATCTTTGTTTTACTATGGTTGCATATATCAAAAAATTTCTATATGTGACACAGCACCAGAGTTAAGTTAGGATTTTTCAAAATGCTGACACGCCGAGCTCAAGAGGTTTGCTATCACTGATGTAGACGATAGTTATAGATATGTAATATTTATGTCAGCAAAATTACTGGTATTTTTTTCCAACATATGACCTATTCACTACAATTTGATAAAAATAACAGTGAATTAATAACAACAAATCACCTATTAATTATAAGCAAATCTTGGTTAAAAACATTTTGTAACTAAGAGGTGTTGATTTTCACCTATGGACTGGAAGTTTTGTTCATTAAATCAAGTTCCACAAAATCAAGGGTTTACTATATTGAGAAAGGCAAGACATTTACTAACACTTAAATTCTTCTCATATTTCCTTATTTTTGTCATAATTAATCTCTATTTTCTTAAGCAAGCTTATACCGTAGAATAACTTCAAAGTTACTGCAGTTTGCTCTTCTTCTGGCCACCTCCAGCATTGTCGTTTATATGAGCCTGCCTTTTGATAATCGTATAAAGAAACCTCCCTCCCAGAGGATCTGATGGTCCTGCTCAGTGTTTTGGGGAAGAGAGCATTGCATAGCTTTGAGGGATTTGCTTAGGGAGATTTGAAAGGAGATGCTAAAAGAAAAAAAGGGCAGACAGCTGTCAACTGAAAAGTCTTAGTTGAAGTGTTGGAGTAGAGATGGTTTGAGCCCCTTGCCCGGCTCCCTTTGTTGCTGAGCATGGCCCCCTGCCCTGGACGTTGTCTGAGCTCATTTCCCTCACCTTGCCACTCCTTTAAGCATCACCTGATGTGGGCTTTGGTTTGGCAGGGTTGCTTTCTTCTATTCTTTTTTGGAGGCAAAATTGATTTTCCTCCTGTTCTTGTTACTACTATCTGAAGCACTTGGGAAGCAGGGGCTCCCCGTGAAAGGCAGGTTTAAGGGTCCCTGCTGTGGTCCCAGGTTATTGAAGATAAGTTTAGGGAGGTGAAAACTGTTAAAAGGTTCAGAGGGAGCTGTATATTTAGAACAAACTCAAGGCAAACAAAGCCAGTGCTATATAAGGTAAAAGAGACACTGCAAGTTTTCCCAGCATTGTTGGATATAGCATTTCCCATAATTCAGTTTTCTGAATTATTGAAATTAGTTCACTTATGAATGCCAGCAGTAAAAACAATATTGGAAATATTTTCTGAATTGGAATGCCTATGATCTTGCCATATTAAACCTATGAAACGTATTTTATTTTTTCTTCATTAAAAGGAATATTGCTTATTGTTTGGTGCCGTAATAGATTGTTATGCTCTTTAAGATTTTGTCTGCTTTTAATTGTTTCTGTTTCTATTTATAGTGCTGTGCTTACCATCTCATCTTCCTGCTATTAGGGTACCTGCTTCTAATGTGTTCCTTCTAACCTAAGCTTGTTAGAATTGTCTAAACTGATAGTAAAGAATTTGACTAAAATTGTTAGATAATGACCCGGATGCTTTTTAAATACTTTCTTTTGAATGTGCAGCCACATTCCACAACATCGAGGTTGCAAATAAGCAGTTCCACCCACCAGCCATACAGTGTTAAGGGCATTGCCCCCATGCCCCACACATGCTGACCCTTCAACTGGCGTGATGGGAGAGTGAACCTCAATGAAGGCCTCCTTTCCTTTAGGGCATTCGCATTTCATTTACTAACCTGGTATAAAAATCGTATTTTGCAGCTGTGGAATGGATAGTTAATAGGCTGGACATTAGGGAACTTGACCAAAGGCTCTGAACAAGAAGATGCCAACTAGAGCAGCTGACTAGGATATGTGCAGTTCATTCTCGTCCCTCTGTAGACAATAGTGTTCTCTTAACTTGAAAATGTCAATATCTAGAAACAATTAATACAGAATGCATCTGTAAACTTTCATTGTGGATTCTACTGATGGAAAAATGATCAGAATTAAAGATGGTTTGGATTTATTCAAGAGTGAATTGGGGCCCTGGCCTGGTAGCTCAGTTGGCTAGAGCACTGTCCCAATACACCAAGGTTGCAGGTTCAGTCCCCTGGTCAAGGCACATACAAGATCAAGCAGTGAATGCATAAATAAGGGGAAAGACAAAGCAGTGTTTCTCTCCTCCCCCCCCCCCCTCCATCTCTCTATCTACCTATCTATCAAATCAGTAAATTTAAAAAAAAATTTAAAGAGTGAATTGGGATTATTTATGCAGAGAATGTAGTTTATTCAGCTGGATGGTCTATCTCTGTGTGTTGCATCTGCATCAAAAATTGGTTAAGTTTTGGGAAAATCACCATAAGTAAAATTTCAAATGGTTAATTCAGAACAATAAAAATTCAGTCATTTTGTTCAAAAAATGTTCTAGATTGGCTGACATGGGATCTGGGCCAACATATGGCCTTTGATATTATTTTATCACACTGAACTATTATGAAATTTCAGAATGAAATTGTGATTTAGCAGTTTTAAGGAGAGAACAAAAAGCTTACCATGTGATTGTCTTAGTAATTTTCAACTTTATTATAGAGATGACACCTCAGCTGGGAGGCATAAAATGTGCTGTGATGCAAAGAATTGTGTAGAACGTGCCAGAGGTTCTATTATGTAGTCCTTCAGTCAGTCAATCAGCAAACATTTGTGGTTCTTTTTTACCACTTCCACATCTATTTTGCTGCCTAGCCCATTGCTTTATAATCACTTCTTTGCTTTTGTCTTCCCCATTAGACTATAAGTTTCTCAAGATTTTATTCATATTTACATTTCCAGTAACTAGGACAGTGAGTGCCTGATGCATAAGAGTCACTCACAAAAATATTTGATAAATGAATAGTCAGGAATGAGTGCTGGCAACATAATTTTCTTGGAGAATTGACTTTTAAACCTAAATTAAATTATTTTGACACAGAAATTAAACATGACCGTTTCCCATTGTGTTCAATGTTTGTGGCAGTTTGTTCTTTCTAGAGCTACCACTGAGTAAACTGTTAGATTTCCATTCATGAGAGAGGTGTCAAAGAAGGATTCCATTAACATTCGTTAGGCTGATGCTGCTAAAGGATCATTGTTCAGTGTTGGCAGAACACATGCTTTGATCATCCAGCTTTTCACCATCTGGGGGACATCTCTTTTAACAGAACCCACATCATAAGACACATCGACATTATTTGGGTTTGTCATTTACACTTGGGGAAGACATTGACTTTCTGTATAACTGATCTTCATAATGGCATTCTAAGAAATATTTACAACAGTATAAACCTTAAATTGCTGTAAGAAATTGGTATGTGGATACAAATCTGTTCATTCTTGGATAAATGGGGTTTTACAAAAAGCATACAGTTGAATTAAGCTCTGTAACAATTAGTACTGGGAAACACTGTCTACCAGAAATTCAGTACCATAGAATTAGCTTGTCTTTTAATGCAAGAATGTAAAAAACACTCCAGGAGGTCACAAAAGTAGATTGTTTAATTCAGATTCAATGTCTGACACTGGTGTGCTGGAATCTATTGTGAAATGGGCTGGTTCGCTACAGGACATAATCCTCCAAAGATGAGCATGTTTTTATGAACACCTATGGCAGTAATTTAGTATGATTACTAGTCACAAATAATCAAATCTCTTCTTTTCTATATGAATATTTTTATTGTAAAAGTCAGAGACACAGTATAAAAATGCTATGGAAGATTGACTCTTGGGAAAAGGGTTCAAAATTACCTATGATCTCAATAATGTAAGATAAACACAATTGGAATTCTGGAGCACTTTTTTTGAGTATTTTCTTTTGGATGTTTTTTTATGCATGCCCTTTTGTGGTTTTGTTTTAGTATTATAGGGCATGTATAATTAGGCACCCTTCTTTATTTTCCTCTCTTATTAGCAGAAACAGTTTTTCATATGCCTCCCAATCATAATTTCCAAACTCTCTAATAGCCCATCATTATATTCAGCCTGTCCAACCTTTTAGGTTAATCACTTTCAAAGATATATCAGTGACTGTATAAAAAAATACTTTTAACAAAGGAATCTTTATTTGTTCAAAATTTACATATTTCACTCTTGCTGTATTTCATACTGATTTACATAAACTTTGATAAAAATAGCCAACATTTATTGAACGCTGGCATAGCATATCTGTTTAATCTTTACAACAACCTTTTGCAAGCAGATGCTGTTATTATCTCCAGTCATCAGATAAATAGAAAACTCAGATCGAACAGCCAGGAAGTAGCACAGCTTGATTCTGAATCCTGTTCTCCTACCACGCATGACCTCTGAGGCCTTTGGTGATGGCCTCGGAACTTTTGCTTTCTGGGTTTGAGATCAAGTGTGTGAGCCCATACTCACAGGGGTCTTTTTGGCCCTCTGGCGAATTCAGTTTCTGGGCCACATCCATGTGCTTTTCTCGAGTCATTAAAAACCAAAATGGCAAACAGCATTCCTGGTTCAAGGACTTCATCACTTAATGAGAGTGGGACGCTTTTTGTTCTAACTTTAGTGTCCTTCATAATGATGCCATGTAAGTTATGATGGCCACTGTTTTTAGAAGGATATCTGAACTGACTCGCAGCGTCTTTTTCTGGATTTTTTTTTTTTAAATATATTTTATTGATTTTTCACAGAGAAGAAGGGAGAGAGATAGAAAGTTAGAAACATCGATGAGAGAGAAACATCGATCAGCTGCCTCCTGCACATCTCCCACTGGGATGTGCCCGCAACCCAGGTACATGCCCTTGACCGGAATCGAACCTGGGACCTTTCAGTCCGCAGGCCGACGCTCTATCCACTGAGCCAAACCGGTTTCGGCTTTTTCTGGATTTTTAACTATGTCTGTGTATCTGGTAGCTGGAATTACTTGAGTTACTGGAATTAAAGTTGTCTTATAATATCAAATTAGAAAGCAAATCTCATTGACTTATATCTCTTCATTTATTTTGCAGGTCACGGAACAAAAAACCAAAGGTAAATTGGGTTTTGTTTTTCCTTTTTAAGTCATTAGAATCTTTTATGTTTAGATTTTACACCCTTGCTAATTGAGCCTCCAGTGCACTTGAAAAGTGAAAGTGGGTGTAGAGTAATTAAAGTTGGTTGTTTGAAGTCACTGAAGAGCAGTAGTGACAAATAAAAAGTACTTGTCATGGTGTTTGTGGCCTGTGTAGTAGCCTTACATTTTTTCAGGAAGTAAAAAAGTTTAGTAAAAGTGATACTTGTTTTGAAAGCATATGGGTCATGATTTTGAATTCAACCTTTTCAAAACTCTTCTTCCATCATTTTTTTTTTTAAGTGAAAATTCTAAGAGAACAGGACAGGGATTTCTGTTGCAAGTTATATGAAGGCATGGACTAGAGTTGGTCCTCCTACCCAGGTAACAGATAATAAAAAGCACTTCAGGTAGAAGCTAATATCGCCCGTTTTTGGATATTTAGAATTGAGTTTCTGGGATTGATGCAGTAGATTTAACAGGGGTGAAGGGTAAGGTTAGATATTAAAAGATAGACTACTTAATGGAGGGATTTAGACATAGCAATTTAGCTTTGTTAAAAAAACTATTCAGGTGATGGTTGTCTTGATGAGCATTATCTATGAAATGATTAGTTTATAAAAGCTAACCTGACCTTAGATGCATTAGTAAAAATATGGTATCTAGAAAGGGATGTTCAGTTCCTGTAATAGGCACCACACTGTGGAAAGAACAGAGACAAACCTTTCTGGACGGTTTGGCATCTGGGCCAGATTGGTTAAGAAATCTGAACCTGTGTCACCTCTAGGAAAGTTAAACACCCAGGGATATTTAACCCCCAAGGGAAGGCTTCCCACCTGGGGAAGATCAGTAACTGTCTTCAAGGATTTAAGGGCTCCTCTGGTGCCTAACACTTTGCAGTTCCTTGGTAGATGTCTGCTGGATGTGTTGTTCATTTAGACCCATTCTTATCCCAAAAGTACCAATGATGAGTGAAAGCAACACAGAAAAGCTTCCAGCTCAATATAAATTTAAAAAATTTACATATTGTTGTCCAGAGCAGTAACTCATAACCTTTACCTTCTTGGGACATACCTGCAGGACAGCATCTTTCCATTAGTATACCTGGGGTGATGGACCATTGCAGTGCATTGGTCACAACTCTGTTTTTTGAGCCTATTCTAGAAGGCATATTACAGTGAGTGCATGTTGGCGGTTGGGATAATTTTGAGTTTACTCTAATTTATTGATATTTGAGGTGGGGGTTTTCCCCAAGTAAGTAATTTACAAACTGAATTACTTGCAGTATCCACACCTTGAAGAGACACCTGTGTGTTCTAACACTGTGGTAGGAGCTATTTCTTCAGGGATGGAACTGGCTTTCTCTAGGGAGTGAATGAATGTGAGGTATTATAAGACATGTGGCTCAGGTAGGTGGCCCAGATGAGAAGTAATGAGGATTTGAACCTGTTTAGGAGCAGTGGTGATAGAAAGATGCTTTGGTTCAGTAGAATATAATGGTGATTAGATAATGGACACCTTCCAGGTTTCTGACTTGAGCAGCTGGTTGGATAATGACTCCATTCCTTGAACCAGACGATAATGGGAGGGGAGCAGGGTAACAAGTTTGAGGGTGTCAGGAAGGGTGGAAGAGTTCTGAGTTGGAGATAGTAATTTGGGAAAGATTTTTACATAGTGGTAGTTAAAGCCTAAGCTTGGGATTGTTTGTGGTCAAATAAATATGGGAAGGGTGCAGGCCTAACCTTCACATTAAGATTTTTCTTAAACTTATGACCCAATTCACCTGCCATCCTGCAACTCTTAAGGGTATAGTCAAAAGCAGGAGTTGCCAGCTGTGACCCTTGAGCCGAATCTGACTCACTGCCTGCCTGTTGATGTACAGCCCGTGAGCTAGGAATGTTTTGTACATATTTAAATGGTTGGGAAGGAAATAAAAGCAACAATTTTACAACAATAAAAATGATATGAAAATTGTATTTCAGTGTCATAAAGTTTTATTGGAACACAGCCACACTTATTCATTTTATACATTGTTTGTGGCTGCTTTTGTCCTAAAAGTACAGAAATGAATTGTCAGGACAAAGACCATATGGCTAGCAAAGTCTAAAATACTTGCTCTCTGGCCCTTTACAGAAAAAATTTACTGACCCCTGACCAAAAGTATGAGAAACCACCCTGGCCAGTGTGGCCTTCATTGCTTGGGTGTCATCCTGTGCACTGAAAGGTTGCTGGTTCGATTCCTGGTCGGGGCACATGCCCAGTTTTCGGGCTTGATCCCCAATATAGGGGCGTGCAGGAGGCCGCAGATTGATGTTCCACTGTCACATTAATGTTTCTCTCTTCCTCCTTTCCTCTCTGTCTAAAGCCCAATTAAAAAACAAAATCTTAAAAAAAAAAAGTATGAAAAACCTGCAAAAAGGAAGAGAGAAAATCTGAAGAGTGAGCTGGAGTAAGTCTTACAAAAACAAAGAGGAAGGGAATAGCCAGTAATGTCAAGTTGAAGAAAAGGTCCAGTGAGTGCCCATTAGACCAGCGGGCGCCAACCTTTCAAACCTCATGGACCACCAGTGGTCCACAGACCTCCAGTTGGCAACCGCTGCATTAGACAGCAATGACAGTCACTGTGATTTAATAAGGAGAGAAGCTCCTAGGGCAGTGATGGCGAACCTTTTGAGCTCGGCGTGTCAGCATTTTGAAAAACCCTAACTTAACCCTGGTGCGGTGTCACATATAGGAATTTTTTGATATTTGCAACCATAGTAAAACAAAGACTTATATTTTTGATATTTATTTTATATATTTAAATGCCATTTAACAAAGAAAAATCAACCAAAAAAATGAGTTCGCGTGTCACCTATGACATCACTGTCCTAGGGAGATGTTAGGGCAAAAGCCAGTGTACGTTGAGTTTGGGGAGTGAGTGGAAGGTAAAGAAAGACATGGAGACAGTGCTTAGAGGTTACTGAAAATTGTTCAATGCGCATGGGCCACTCACAGTGTCATTAATCTTTGAGATTTTTTTTTGTACTACATTTTAACTGATTATTCTTCACAAGAAATTTTCAGTCTAAAATAATGTCTTTTCTAGGGCTTGTTTGTATTTACTACTTTTAAACATTTTTTTAGGTTTTTTTATGTAAGTGGTTTTTTTCATGTTTTAAATCCCTTTCAAGGTATTTAAAGAAAATAGTAATTTGTATTGGTTCTGCCTTTTTCAGAATATTCTTAATATTTTTATCTTTTAAAAAGTAGCATTTTACTGAAGTTTTCCAGAAATAGAGGCAATTAGAAGTTCAAACTGAGATGAGAATGGTATAAGATAATTAAGGCAATGGAAAGGGAAAAATATTCAGTCCTTAGAGTAAGTAAATGTTTTTGGAGAGTAAATGAATAATTTATGATCCATTCTATCTCTGATGTGATGGTGGGGAAATGCCCTGAGGTGCTTCAGCAGGGAATGTTGCGCAATGTGTGATACCCACTAGATTTCTTTGGTGGTTCTGTGCGTATTGTAAAGTTAGTTGAACTGGTGTTCAGACCTCAATGCAGTAGGCTTGTCTTAGTGTGTCTTATTCTATCTTAGGGGAATGAGTCAAGGCTGTAACAGACCTCCCTAACTTAAAGACTAGCCCTTTTGTAGAAGAGCAGCCTCATAGGAACCTAGCTCCTTCCATCCTAACAACCACTTGGGAAGAACACACACACCCCCCCCCACCCCCCAGCCTTTGCCAGCTTCTTGTGTATTCTCATGATGGGGAACGGGGATTAAGAATGCCATGTGGTATCGAATCTTCCAGGCACAGATAGAAAATGGATCATTAAATAATTCATCTTTATTCATCAGTTTATCAGTTATTTATCCATTGGCTATTATAGCAGAGGGTGCTGTGTTAAAAATATTAGACAATGACCAGTTTATTTTCTTAGGTCATATGTTTATTCTGCTCGCCATGTTCATTCTGACCTACCTTCCTTACTAGGAGGCCCAGTATAGCCTCCTGATGGGCTCAGGTTAGACCCCTGGGTTGCTTTGACATTACTTCAGGCATCTGCTCCTTTCTCCTATTACTCAGAGGACTCACCAGTGTCCAATGGGTATAAATTGAGCCCCCTGATTTCTGATGATGTATCTCTCTCCTCATAAAGGAGCCAGTTCAACGAGTGACATGCTGGCCCAGCATCACTTCAGCAGTCAGAACGGTACTGCCACCAGAGCTGGCCCTAACGTTACTCTGGATGTCAGGGATTTTGGCCTCAGAATCATCTGAATTATCAGGCTCAGTGATTGTTTCTGTATTACTGCCAGCCACTATTTGCCAGGTAAATTTTCTTGGAAAGGGTGGCAGTCTTTTGGTAGGATGAAGCAAAGAAGGTACACAGATCCAGAAGAACAGCCCCCGTAGGGTTGAGCCGAGGGTCCTGCAGAGTATAGCTTGACAGTCACCCAGCACGTCCCCACACTTCCTTTTGCCATTTTTTAAAGTGAGCAAAAACATTAAATTATTAAAGTCAATAGGGAAAGTATCTACATTTTGAAATTTTTATTTTAAATAAAGAGTTGGAAAAAAACATACATGATACACTTAAAATGGGAGGAGGTGGGGCAAAAGCAAAATGATTATGACATTTCTAATATTTACACACAGTGACAAGCAAGAGTCCGAGTTGACTTTGTGATCCTCTAGATCAGTGGTTCTCAACCTGTGGGTCGCGACCCCTTTGGGGGGTCAAACGACCCTTTCACAGAATTCGCCTAAGATCATTGGAAAACACATATATAATTGCATATTGTTATTGTGATTAATCACTATGCTTTAATTATGTTCAATTTGTAACAATGAAAATACATCCTGCATATCAGGTATTTACATTATGATTCATAACAGTAGCAAAATTACAGTTATGAAGTAGCAATGAAAATATTTTTATGGCCGAAACCGGTTTGGCTCAGTGGATAGAGTGTCGGCCTGCGGACTGAAAGGTCCCAGGTTTGATTCCAGTCAAGGGCATGTACCTGGGTTGCGGGCACATCCCCAATGGGGGATGTGCAGGAGGCAGCTGATCGATGTTTCTCTCTCATCAATGTTTCTAACTTTCTATCTCTCTCCCTTCCTCTCTGTGAAAAATCAATAAAATATATTTAAAAAAAAGAAAAACTGACTGTTTAAAAAAAAAAAAAAAGAAAGAAAATAATTTTATGGTTGGGGGTCACCACAACATGAGGAACTGTATTAAAGGGTTGCGGCATTAGGAAGGTTGAGAACCACTGCTCTAGATTGAGGTTCCCTGTGGCAGACCTTAAGAAAAAAGGATGAAAGATGTATTTCTGGCTTTGTGGGACTTAAGATCTGATGAGGAAGAAGGGTCTATAAAGGGAGAATTTCAAAATAATATGGAAAATTCAGTGGTAAAGAGAGATGGACGTCGTGTTCTAGGAGCACAGTGAAGGGTGCTTAGCCTACCTAGTCCAGGGACTTTGAGAAAAGTTTCTCAGAGGTAGGTCTTTAAGAATGTGGATGACAGAAAGGGCCCCTTGGGCTAAAAGCCTTAAACCTTTACCAAAGACTTTGCCTGGGAACCATAGGTACTGTACCCTCAGAGCTGCTGGGCAGCCCTTCGGGAAATTCCACTATTGCTTCCCTCTCCCTCTTTGTGGAATGGAATTCCATGATATTGGTATCTTTGAATACTTGTCACCTTCACCCTACCTTCAGTAAACTAAAGATGCTGGCAATTTGGAAAGGCCATGAACATAAGGAGTAGGATTATTAGGTTGTCTAATTGTAATTGGTCCCACATAAACACTCTTAAAAATAATCTTTAAAAAATGTATTTGATTTCAAAGGTTGTTTCCCAATCTCTTTCAGTGCCCGAAGTGACGAAACCAAGTTTAAGCCAACCAACGGCCGCCAGCCCAATTGGCAGCTCTCCATCGCCACCAGTCAATGGTGGCAACAATGCCAAAAGGGTGGCAGTGCCGAACGGACAACCGCCAAGCGCCGCCCGCTACATGCCTCGGGAGGTGCCTCCGCGATTCCGTTGCCAGCAGGACCACAAAGTGTTACTAAAACGTGGGCAGCCCCCTCCACCATCCTGCATGCTCCTCGGGGGTGGGGCAGGGCCTCCTCCCTCCACAGCACCTGGAGCAAACCCAAACAACGCACAAGTGACAGGAACGCTGCTGCAGAGTGAGAGTGGGACTGCACCAGGTGAGGAATCGCTGTCGCCGACTTGAATTCATGGCAGCTTTAGAAAGGGAGAGCACTTTTATTGCCTGATGTGAAGTCCACAAAAACATTCATTGTAAAGACTATTGGAGTTATTGAAAAGATGGGGAAGGATCCCAGTATGAAATGTACATCAGCATTTCTGTGCTGAAACTGGGTTTTGGTGTCCAGTGAGTGCGTGCTCTTGGCAGGAGAGGTTAATACAGCTGCTCTTTGTCATCGCTCTGGAGCCTTTTCCTTTCTCAGACAAGAGCGTTACAAATTTAAGCCTCCATTGTTCTATCTGTCACCACAAGTATGTGCTCCAAGTATGATTGCAAGTGGGCTAGTGCAAGGGGGTGTTCAGAAGCTTAAGATGCTCATGTTTATGCTCCCAGAATGCTAGGCAGGTAGAAAGAATGGTCTCTTAGATTACTCTCTAGAATTTGGGGATTTTTAGATTTTTTTAAAGCAGTATTTCTTTAGGGGGGCCCTTGATTTGGAACATTATTAAAAACTGTATGTAGATACAAGGATCTTTAGCTAAAGGGCTCTACTAGAAGTTCTGTGATTTTTTTTTTTTTCTCCCCAGTGTGTGAATACTAAATTAGTTAACAGCTAAGGACTTTCAAATACATATTTTTAGCTCGTTAATAGATTTCAACTTATCTCTTAAAAATTTTTTTGTTTTTGCTATTGTATTAAAACTCAGAACTTGAGCACCATTAAGCATTGGCAAAGGCACTGAATTGTGGTTGTTATTAGGATGCTTTATTCTAACCTAAGTTTGAGTATAGAATTGCCCAGAAAATTCTTTTACTGTCTCATGTGCAGAGTAAGGGTGGAAAGAAACCTAGGATGACATAGGCTTCATGCAGAGATAAGCCCTATGCATGGGTCTTTCCTGTGGTGACCATCAGGCCAGGCCCAAAGCCATTAGAAGGCCTCCTGGCCCTTCCGTCTTGGCCCCTTATAACCAAATACAAAAGGAAGTATGTGAGGGGCAGTGTGTCTGGCATTGATTTCTGCAGCCCGGTCTAGCCAGGCCTTGATGTGGACACGGGTCCAGTGTGAGCCAGAATCTCTTGTTTATATTTTTAAAACCAAGGAGGCCCCTAAATTTTAAGAATTTGAGATTCTGTGCTTCCTGCTTTTATATGGCTTTATGTAATATTTTTTTCAACTTCATATTGATTATAAGCTGCTTGGTTAAAGGAGTTAAATAAGTTTAGAAGAAATTATCAGGCTTAAAACATATCATTTTCCCTCCACCAAATAAGGTAAATTCCACCAAAATATGTGCTAAACCAGACTAATTCATCAGATTAAGTTCCTTGGGCAAACACACTGATTCATGCTTGTCTGCCCTTGGCATCCAGCTGGGTGACATTTATTATTCAGACAGTGCTCACTGAGCAGCAATGGACTGGACACTGTAGAATTCAAATGTTAGCAAGATAGGGTCTAGCAAGAGACAAGATAGGGTCTCTGCCTAAAAAGCACTAACATAGGGGGGGAAATGTGACAAGTTCTCTTGGGGGACAGTTTGAGGTGGAGATGTTAATAGAGCGTGCATATGTATCTGTGATTGATTAGACAATCTCTTTCCCAGAGTCAACCCTTGGAGGTGCTGCTGCTTCAAATTATGAGCAAAATGGCTCTAGACAGGAAAAGACTATTTTTGGTTGATGAGCTCATAAAAAACTTCAGTCAAAAATGTGGCACTTGAACTAGGCCCAGAAAAATGAGCAAATTTCAGTGTATGAATTTAGGAGGAAAAAACAGTAAGTGCTGATGCTAGTTGTGGAATGTCAAGTAGTATGGAATGTAGATGTCTACATAGAAATAGTGGAAGATGAGACTAGAAAAGTCACTTGGTCCCAGGTCATGAGGTATCTTGATCAAACTCCAGACCAAAGAGTTCAGCTTTATTCTTGTGCAATAAAGTGATGTGCTTTAGAAAAGCCCCTCCAGCCAGGAGTGTTTAGAGTAGGTTGGAGATGCAGAGCAAGCAGGGTGTTGTTGCATTGTCTCAATACAAGAAGGCCCTTCTCTGTCAGTAGGAATGGCAAAGGGATAGCTTTGAGAGATGGTGTGGAGTTAGATTTAGCAAGTACACCAACCAGGTAAGACGAAAGAGAAGATGACTAAAATAGGGGTGGTACAGTTCACTAAGACAGGCACCTGGGTGGATAAGTTAGATTGTGGGGAAATGTGACAAGTTCTCTTGGACAGTTTGAGGTGGAGATGTTAATAGAGCGTGCATATGTATCTGTGATTGATTAGACAATCTCTTTCCCAGAGTCAACCCTTGGAGGTGCTGCTGCTTCAAATTATGCAAATTCCACTTGGGGCCCGGGAGCCTCCTCCAACAACGGCACCTCCCCCAACCCAATTCACATCTGGGACAAGGTGATTGTAGACGGGTCTGACATGGAAGAGTGGCCTTGTATTGCCAGCAAAGATACTGAGTCTTCTTCCGAAAACACCACCGATAACAACAGTGCCTCAAACCCTGGCTCTGAGAAGAGCACTCTGCCAGGAAGCACCACTAATAACAAAGGAAAAGGGAGCCAGTGCCAGTCTGCAAGTTCTGGGAACGAATGTAATCTTGGGGTCTGGAAATCTGACCCTAAGTCTAAATCTATTCAATCTTCCAACTCTATTGCAGAGAGCAACAATGGACTAGGAAATTGGAGGAATGTGAGTGGTCAAGATAGAATTGGACCTGGCTCTGGCTTCAGCAACTTTAACCCAAATAGCAACCCATCTGCCTGGCCAGCACTGGTTCAAGAAGGAAATTCTAGGAAAGGGGCATTGGAAACAGATACTAGTAATTCCAGTGCACAGGTTAGCACAGTAGGTCAGGCATCCAGGGAACAGCAGTCAAAGATGGAAAATGCGGGTGTTAATTTTGTTGTCTCTGGCAGAGAACAGGCTCAAATTCATAACACTGATGGACCAAAAAATGGAAACACTAACTCCTTGAACTTAAGTTCACCAAACCCCATGGAGAATAAGGGAATGCCCTTTGGAATGGGCTTGGGGAACGCCTCCAGGAGCACTGATGCCCCTTCACAAAGCACTGGAGATCGAAAGACTGGGAGTGTTGGATCTTGGGGTGCAGCTAGGGGGCCTTCTGGAACTGACACAGCCTCTGGACAAAGCAATTCTGGAAACAATGGGAACAATGGAAAAGAGAGAGAGGACTCCTGGAAAGGAGCTTCTGTTCAGAAGTCAACTGGGTCAAAAAATGATTCTTGGGACAATAACAGGTCTACGGGTGGGTCCTGGAACTTTGGCCCTCAGGACTCTAATGACAGCAAATGGGGTGAAGGGAACAAAATGACATCTGGGGTCTCTCAGGGAGAATGGAAACAGCCGACTGGGTCTGATGAGTTGAAAATTGGAGAATGGAGTGGTCCAAACCAACCAAATTCTAGCACTGGAGCATGGGACAATCAAAAGGGCCACCCCCTCCCTGAAAACCAAGGCAATGCCCAGGCTCCCTGTTGGGGAAGATCTTCCAGCTCCACAGGAAGTGAAGTTGGAGGTCAAAGCACTGGAAGCAACCACAAAGCAGGAAGTAGTGACAGTCATAATTCTGGCCGTCGCTCATATAGGCCCACACATCCTGATTGTCAGGCTGTCTTGCAGACTCTTTTGAGCCGAACTGATTTGGACCCCAGGGTGCTCTCAAACACCGGCTGGGGCCAAACTCAAATTAAGCAGGACACGGTGTGGGATATTGAAGAGGTGCCAAGGCCTGAGGGGAAATCTGACAAAGGAACTGAGGGGTGGGAGAGCGCTGCCACACAGACCAAGAACTCAGGGGGCTGGGGAGATGCACCCAGCCAAAGCAATCAAATGAAGTCTGGATGGGGGGAGCTCTCAGCCTCTACAGAGTGGAAAGACCCCAAGAACACAGGAGGCTGGAATGACTATAAGAACAACAACTCTTCCAATTGGGGAGGGTGTCGACCAGATGAAAAGGCATCTTCCTCTTGGAATGAGAATTCCAGCAAGGATCAGGGGTGGGGAGGTGGGCGCCAGCCCAATCAAGGATGGACTTGTGGAAAGAATGGTTGGGGAGAGGAAATTGATCAAGCAAAAAACAGCAATTGGGAAAGTTCTGCAAGTAAACCTGTGTCTGGGTGGGGCGAAGGAGGGCAGAATGAAATTGGAACTTGGGGGAATGGTGGGAATGCAAGCCTAGTTTCCAAAGGCGGGTGGGAAGATTGCAAAAGATCTCCAGCATGGACCGAGACAGGCAGACAGCCCAATTCCTGGAACAAACAGCACCAACAGCAGCCACAGCAGCCACCGCCACCACAACCAGAGGCTTCTGGTTCATGGGGAGGCCCACCCCCACCACCTCCAGGCAATGGACGACCCTCCAATTGCAACTGGAGCAGCGGGCCGCAGCCAGTAACCCCTAAGGATGAGGAACCCAGTGGTTGGGAAGAGCCATCCCCACAGTCAATTAGTAGAAAAATGGACATTGATGATGGCACTTCAGCATGGGGAGACCCCAACAGTTATAACTACAAGAATGTGAATCTGTGGGATAAGAATGCCCAAGGGGGCCCAGCACCTCGAGAACCAAATCTGCCTACCCCAATGACCGGTAAATCAGCATCAGGTAGGCAGCTGCTTTTCTTGCAGGTTTTAATGAAGAAGATAAATCCTAAACCAAGGCATTTTTATTAAGCTGCATTTATTCAATTTGGCTGTATTCTGGGAATCTTTCCTACATTAACAGAAGCTCTTTTTTTTTTTTTATAAAATGATAGTGATAACAGATGCTAGTAGTACATTTTAATGTTCTTTCTTGGCAAAAGAAAAAGATGATATCCCTGGGTTAGCCTCCCAAAATTATTCTTTTGCAATTGTATTGGTCTGCAGAATCCTAAAGACATACTATCTTGCTAAACAAACTATGCTCTAGATTTAAAAATAAGGAATTAAAATAGTAGCAGAAATAGACCTGATTTCCATTCTGGTTCTGCACATGGCCACATCCTCTGTGTTCTCTTTCCCCATTGAAGGGAAGTGTTGTGTGCTGTTCTTGCAGAGGCCATCATTATGCTGTAGCAAAGCTCGGATCCGGAGGGTTTGGTCACTTTCCAGGTGGTTTTAACGATCACCTTTGAAAGTAGAGTACTTTGTATAAGAGGTTGTTATCTCATGATAATCACGTGTCCACCTTATTCGAATAGGAAATACTATACCTAGGATATGAAAAGTAGTGCTGGTAATATCATTCTTAGTTTGGCATTGTCAACTTGAATGCCCCCATAAAGCATATAGTTCAGCAAACCAGAGGGATGCATTATTCAACTTCTTTTTTCCTCCCACATTTGTTTTTTTGTTTGTTTGTTTTTGTTTTTGTTTTCTTAGTTAGTATTAATCACAGTATTCCATTTTCCACTCACTCCCCAAAGTGTTCAGTGAATTTAATTATGGCCACTTAGAAAATGATTACTTTTAACTAGTTCTTTTTTATTTAAAATCAGAAAAAGAATGAGAAAGGAAATGCAGATTGTTCATTAATTCCTTGTCTAGAATAAAACCTGCTAATATATTAAAAAACAAACAAAAACTTTATCCATATAGTCGGCCCTCTGGACCCACCAGTTCCCCCATTGACAGATTTTATCCAACCACAGATCAGAAATATTTGGGGGGGGGGGGGGGGCGGATCTAGCATTATGTTGTTGTGTACTATGTAGGCCTACAATGGTTGTGTCTGTACTGAACACGTACAAACTTCTTTTCTTGTCATTATCACCTAAACAATGCAGTATAACTATTTACATAGTATTTACATTGTATTGGGTATTAAAACAAATCCAGAGATGATTTAAAGAATGATGGAGAATGTGTGTAGGTTACATGCAAATATTATTCCATTCTACATAAAGGACTAGTACATCTGTGGATTTTGGTTCTGGAACCATCCTCCTCAGATACCAAGGAATGACTATAGTAAAAACCTTCAAACTATACAGAAAAGCAAAGGGTAATAAAAGAATCTTAGTCTCTAGGGCAGCGATTCTCAACCTGTGGGTCGCGACCCCTTTGGGGTTGAACGACCCTTTCACAGGGGTCGCCTAAGACCATCGGAAAACACATATATAATTATAAATTGTTTTTGTGATTAATCACTATGCTTTAACTATGTTCAATTTGTAATCATGAAAAGATATCCTGCATATCAGATATTTGCATTACGATTCATAACAGTAGCAAAATTACAGTTATGAAGTAGCGACGAAAATAATTTTATGGTTGGGGGTCACCACAACATGAGGAACTGTATTAAAGGGTCGCGGCATTAGGAAGGTTGAGAACCACTGCTCTGGGTTCTCTTCCCACAGGTAACCTCTTAGAATTTTGTATCTCATTCAAACATTTTGTTCATATCTATAGCAAAATATGTCTAATCCTTTAATAATTATACACAGAAGGCATTGCATTATGTACACTGTTCTTCACTTTGCTTTTATCATTATACTTAAAAACTTTCCATATTGCCACATACATTTTTGTCTTCTAATTGCTTTGTATATAGTATTCATTTTATGGATGGCCCATGATTGGTGTAACCAGTGCCTTTTTGATAGATATTTGGGCTGCTTCTAAATGATTTCCGACAGTGATGCAGTGGGCATTGTTGTACATGTAATTTCATCTACTTTCATAAGTTTAACTATGGTAAAATTTTCCGACAGTGGAATTATTGCGCCAAAAGTGATAATGCCAAATGCCCTCCATGAACGTGGAACCCACTTGTATTTCTCAGAGTGCCTGTTCCCCACCAATCCACTGGATAGTATACTGTTTAACACATCATTCTTAGAGCCACATTTTCTGTCTTTACAGTCTGGAGCAAAAGCACACCACCTGCTCCAGATAATGGTACTTCAGCTTGGGGTGAGCCAAATGAAAGCAGTCCTGTGTGGGGCGAAATGGATGACACAGGAGCATCGACCACAGGCTGGGGGAATGCACCTTCCAACGCTCCAAATGCCATGAAACCTAGTAAGTATACAGTGTTATTTTTTAGGGATCCTCTGTTAATTTGGGGGGTCAGACATTTTGGGGAGGGCTGTTTAGTGTTTAAACAGTTGTTGCAGTGAGATTCAGAACCTTGAATCTTTAAATGGTTAGCAGCAAATAGTGGTGACTTGAATTGGCATGTGTTAAAATGCGCACAGTGAACTAAAAGTCACAAGTTAATTTTGTTGATTTTGCATTAGGTTTAGTATCTGGACAGAATTGAAATGGTGATGTGGTGCCTTTTCTTTTCCTTGTTTCTTTCATTCTTTCTTTCTTCCTTCCTTCCTTCCTTTCTCCCTCCCTCCCTCCCTCCCTCCCTCCCTCCCTCCCTCCTCTTTCTTTCTTTCTTCTCTCTCTCTCTTTCTTTCTTTCTTTCTTTCTTTCTTTCTTTCTTTCTTTCCTTTCTTTCTTTCCTTCCTTTCTTTCTTTCTTTCTTTCTTTCTTTCTTTCTTTCTTCCTTCCTTTCTTTCTTCCTTTCTTTCCTTTCTTTTCTTTTCTTTCTTTTCTTTCTTTTCTTTTCTTTCTTTTCTTTCTTTTCTTTCTTTCCTTTCTTTTCTTTTCCAGTAACTGAAATACTGCTTTCCACATCTATTTTGCATTTCTACTCTTTTTTTTTAGTATAATTTAAAAAGAGATTCCTGGCTTTTAATGTGGGATATAGTCTCTGCTGCTCAGTGACTTCATTCTTCTGTTCCTATTTTCCCTTTTTCTCTCATACAACATCCACCCACATAGAAACATTTAAGGTTTCTTAAACCTAACAAAGATTTCTTCATTTGAATTTTTTAAACAAAGCATGTCATACTTTGAAAATCTAAGCTATACTTGGTCCAGCTGGCATATGTAGTCACAGTAATTTGCAAAACTTGGTAAACTGATGCTTTGGAATGTCCCAGTGGATGTTCCTCAACTGAAAAATTCAAATGCCTGTTTTCATTTCTTTGTAGTTTTCCTAAAAAGTATTCCAGCATCTCTTTTCTACCATGTTGCAGACTTAAGGAATTGTCTTTTGATTTAAAAGTGTGGTCATCCTGAATGCTCAAAATTTGAACGAGAATAAAAAATTCCATTGTCAGGTTTACTGTATGATATTTAGGACTCATATAGGGCTACATGAAGGATTATGGTTTTAGGTACATTCTATATGTAATTTGACTACATTTTTAAAATTAGGAGTCTCTTCCACTTCATCAAAAGAGCTTTATAAAGACTTTCATTTTCATTGTAAACTGATTGTATTGTCAGGGGAGCTACCATTCTGTAGACTTGAAATACATCAAAAAAGCTGTTGAAAGACATTAAGGGACCCTTAGCACAAGGGGGTACTTTAGCAGTACTTTCAGGATTTTTATGTCTTCCCCAACCTCAGAATCACCTTTCTTTCATCAGAAACCCCTCACTTTTCTCCAGATTTAAAAAATATTTTCTATTCTTTGGGAATATCTGTAGTCATAGCTATAGTTATACTTCCCCTTTCTCTGGGTAATTTGAATATTACTACTCAGAGGAAGGAGCTTAGATCATCACAGCCTATTAATTGATGCTGGTCATTAACCTGTTATCATTGTTTCTAGACTACAAATATATATGACTAAAAATAAGTTCTCTTGCCAAAACCGGTTTGGCTCAGTGGATAGAGCGTCGGCCTGCGGACTGAAAGGTCCCAGGTTCGATTCCGGTCAAGGGCATGTACCTGGGTTGCGGGCATATCCCCAGTGGGGGATGTGCAGGAGGCAGCTGATCGATGTTTCTCTCTCATCGGTGTTTCTGACTCTCTATCTCTCTCCCTTCCTCTCTGTAAAAAATCAATAAAATATATTTTTAAAAAAATAAATAAATAAAAATAAAAATAAGTTCTCTTTTTTATCTTTTTCATAAGAAGACATTCGTTGAAAGTTCAGCTCCTTTCTCTGTAAGAAGGGTTGCATGGATGTCTTTGTTTTTATAAAGGGGTCAGTATGTTATTGTATTGGGCTTTTAATTCCTATTGCTTGTCAGAGGATGGCATAAGGCCTATCCTATATATATAAAAGGCTAATATGCAAATCGACTGAACGGCGGAATGACTGGTCACTATGATGTGCACTGACCACCAGAAGACAGACGCTCAATGCAGGAGCTGCCCCTGGGTGGTCAATGTGCTCCCACAGGGGAAGCGCTGCTCAGCCAGAAGCTGGGCTCACAGCTGGCGAGCGCAGCAGCGGTGGTGGGAGCCTCTCCCGCCTCCGCAGCAGCACTAAGGATGTCCAACTGCCAGCTTAGGACCGCTCCCCGACATCCCCCAAGGGGTCCCGAACTGCAAGAGGGCACAGGCCAGGCTGAGGAAACACACAGACACACACACACACACACACACACACACACACACACACACACCATCCCCCACACCACCCCTCCTCCCTCGAATGCATGAATTTCATGCACTGGGCCTCTAGTGCTTACATAATAAAGAAATATCTCCTGCAGAAGAAACCATCCTGATTTTCAGTGGCATTTTCAGTAGCAGGGAATATAGCCCCCAGTCCCTGCCTCCACTGTCCAGTCAGAAAGCCCTTCATGTAAGGCTGGAGAACCCCATGGAGGGTCCATCAGGTTCACTCAGCCCATGTGGGGGTGGGGGTGCTACATTTAGAAGAAACCAACCTCCTTGTGTCCTGTGTACATCATGGTGCCTTCATGACTGTCTCAGGCCTGGTCCTAGGGGATGGCAACAGTCATTCAAGGAGTGAGCCACTTTTTTGGCTTTAGACTCTTCATATGCAGCTATCTAAATCAAATAACTGCCCCTTCCATAAATGTTCTGTCATTGGTAAAGTGAAGGTATGGATGGAGGCAAGATAGTGAATTTTCCCTTCTTCCATCAATTTATAGAGACTCATTACCACAAAAATGTATCCTTCAGTTCCATACAGTATTTTTAGAGGGAAGTAAAGGATTTATCCCAATCTCCAAATTAAAGATATTTATTTAGAAGGGGATGTTGGTTGAGTATATCATGGATACTGACATTCTACTTCCTCTAACATTAGAGCCCTCATCACTGATTTTCCTCCCTACCTTCCCTCCTTCCATTCCCTCCCTTCCTTCCCTCCTTCCCTTCCCTCCTTCCCTTCCCTCCTTCCCTCCTTTCCTCCTCCTTTCCTTTTCTTCCCTCCCTCTCACCCGCCCTCCCATCCTTCCTCTTTTCCTTCCTTCCTTCCTTCCCTCCTACTTCCCCATTCTCTATCTTCCAATTTTCTCCACTTGTCTTTTAAAAGCCATTGCTTGCACATTGTCTTTGCCTAGGATCTTTATTAGTGTCTAACATATTTCAAGTATATATATTAATAAATCACAAATTTTTATGGTTCTCTGTGAATTTCTCTTTCACCATAATATTGATATTCAAAGTCTTTTTTCTTCCCCTTTTCATGTTCTTTTCTTAACTTCACCCCAAACAAGGTAGACAGGTGTTCTTTATCATACCTCATATTTGAAATGTCCATTATCAGTCACACAATGTATTTTTAGGAGGTAAAACTACAGTAAACTGTGCTCATTAAGGGAAATAGAGATGTGAAGTTTCTTGTAAGTAGTGATGGATTCTTTTCAAGCTTGAATTTTCTAAAACTTTGTATAAGGGAACATCATTAGACCAGAAGCCAGGAGATCTTAATTTTGTGGTTTATTAACTTTGTATCATTAAACCTTTATGGGTTTCCATTTTCTGCTCTCTAAAATATGAACCATGTTTTTCTTGTCATATAGATATAGTAGATAAAATTACAGTATGTATTAACAATGAATGATTTTTGTGGTTTTTGTTACATATATGCTGTATTTACAAGGAATGCTATATTTACAAGGAATGATTATTGTGTCATTTCATATAGCTATCACATACAGTTGATTCCTTCTTTTATTAAAGATTCCAAATCTATGCAAGACGGCTGGGGGGAGAGTGACGGGCCAGTGACAGGAACTCGCCATTCCAGCTGGGAAGAGGAGGAGGATGGAGGAGTCTGGAACACTGCCGGCTCTCAGGGAAGCGCTTCCTCCCACAACTCAGCGAGCTGGGGACAAGGAGGAAAGAAACAAATGAAGGTAGTCTGCTTTAGGAATACTTGAGCTTGCTTATTCATTCTTAGAAGGCAGAGCTGAGAATTTTTTAGTAGAAGAAATAGGGCAGCTGGAGTCCCTGAGGTCCTAAGTAAGAGAGAAAAATATTTTCTTGGGAACAAATAACTGCTTCCTCTTTACCCCTCATGTTCCTTCCCCACGACTTTGAAACCACGGACCACAGAACTGTTGCTATTGGTAAAATGGAATTTTCAAAGATAGATTGTTTTTACTTTTAGTTTCTATATTATAATTATTCTTCGGAAGCTTTCAAGGCATATTCTATAAGTGCTTTATGCTATTGCGTTTTAAAGCCAAGGAAGTCCTTAGAGTAAATCCTCATGAATATGTATAGAAACCAAAGTAAGATAGCTTCTGCAGTGGCAATCAGCATAGCTGGTTTTTATCTAATTCAGGAAATTCCAAGGCCCAGAACCCTTCTCCAACAGTGGCATTAAATACATTACATTGTTGTGCTGCCATCACCACCTATCCACAAAACTCTCTTTATCTTGCAGAACAAACTCTCTGTACCCATTAAACAGTAAGGACCGATTCTCCCCTCCCGCCATTGAGGGGTGTTTTGGTTTTTTTTTACCTTTAAACATGTACCTAAACTTAAGTACCTTATTACTTTCAAGAATAATAAATTGATAAGACAAATATCAGAACACAATTTTTTAATTGTAGAATGTACAAGTGCACAAACCCCCATCACATCACCCCTACCCCCAGCAAGTCCGTATCATAGTTCCACCTGCTTTCTCCATAGAAGTAAAAGTGGAGTTGGTGATTAATGTCTTGTTCAGGGGAGAAACTAATTTGACCCATTAAGAAACAAACAAAAACTCATGTCTGCCTTATTTTGCAATAAGGCGGTGATGGTGTCTTCTGCTAGACTTCTTTCCCATTGGGGACCCATGTCTTTTATACCATGAGCAAACAGATGAACGTACTACATGGATAAATTTTTCATTGTATCCACATAGAGAATAATGACCAGTTTAATATGGCTTCATGCACTAGCATCAAACATTTTTTTTCTGATACCAACTGGCTTGGATTACAAGGAGATACTAAAAGGGAAGGTACACGCATGCAAACATTATAATTTATAATTTATAAAATCTGATATTGACTGTATATTTTTCCAGTTACTTTTAATTCAGTGTGACAGAAATAAAATAACAATGAAAACAGATATATCTAAGCCTTATTACTCTTTTAGACTAATATATGAAATATGAAAACAAACATAATTAAAGAGGAATAATTAGGGTTCAAAAAGGTAAACTCGTGGTTCTGTACTTTCAGTCTGTACTTATGTAATTCAGATATGAAGTTGAAAAAATAAATTATTTGATTTTGAGGTTACATATTTCATTTCTGTAGTGCGCACTGAAAGGAGGAAACAATGATTCATGGATGAATCCTATTGCCAAACAGTTTTCAAATATGGGATTGCTGGTAAGTTTTATTTTTTCCTATGTGTAATGTATCCCAACTTTTAATTTTAGTACAAATTTTAAGACCATTGCCACATATAGTACAAAATTACAGATTTTGAAACTGGTCAGTGTTCCTGGTTTGGAGTAGATTTGTTTTCTGTTCTCTTATTCTTAATGAAATGCTCCAATATTTAAAGGTTAATGTGTATGTTTTTAAGTTGTAGTCCTTGTAATTTTTTTTCTTTTTGCAGGTAGGGAAAAAAGAGACTGGCACTTAAAATTGATATAGTTTTCCCAACTACTGTATCAGTTTTAAAAGACAACAATAGCAAAATAACTAGAGAGATTATTTGTGATTAATTATGTAGGGAATTCTTGTAGAATTTCTAATTTCTTTTATCTCTTGGGAACATTATGGGGACACCCTGGCCCTGGTTGCCAAAAGACAAATAAATGACTTTGACTTGGCTGCACATTTCCAGATTTGATGACTTGACAAGTCACGAGAAGAAGTTGTCATCATTTGGCTGCCACTTATGAAATTTGATCCTGAGCTGACTTGAACTTGAGGACAGGGGTTTATTTCTACAAGCAGCTGTTTAGCTATTGCTCTGTCCATAGATTAACTGAAGCTAATTCTATGTGAAAATTGAATTTAGGAATATAGGCACCAGCAGCAATCAAAAGTATTTTTGTCTTTATTCTAAGTGTTATTGTCCTTGTGTAGTGCCAGTAGTAAAATGGGACTCTTACATGAATAATACCATTTCTTCTCTGATTCAAACATTTAATTCAAACCTTTAATTTTTCCCTCTTGTTCTGTACTTTTCAGAATCAAACTGAAGATAATCCAAGCAGCAAAATGGATTTGTCTGTAGGTGTGTATCACTCCACTAATATGAATGGAATATTTTTCTTAACGACATCCTGTTGGGATCCCCTGCTCAGTTTGAGTTGGGATGGATGCAGTTCAGTAGACACGTATTGAACACTTACTCTGTGGAAGGTACTGTGCCAGACACTAGGTAGGGCTTAAAAATTCAAATGACTGCAAGAGCCAAGAAAGTAATGTAAATGAGTGGTGTGTGCCAAGTATAAGAAATTAGGACTTGGAGGCTACTGGTTAGCTGTGGAGAGTGGATGTACCACCTAAAGGAATCAGCCTTGCTCGGCTCTTAGCAGTTGTTGCCATGGAGGAGCTCAGACTCGGACAATAATACTTTTGCCAGATCTTCTGGTTTTTGAAGAGAGGCCAGAAGAAATTCAGATGTATATTGATATCCTGATTTTTAAATATTGGAAGCTAATTCCAGTTTTTAAAAATGCTGTGTGTGGCCAAACAAAATATGTCTGTGGCCCTGCCAGACTCAGCTCTCAGGTTGCCAGTCCTGTCTGCCCTGGGATGTTTCATCGTTGACTGACTCTCCCCTTACAAGTGGAGCCGATGCAGGGTCAGCCCTTTGTCTGTGGGATCTTCAGAAAGATGCTGCTGCTCACCCTGAGAAACTTAAAAAGAATCAAGCCAAGAAGAAAGCAAAACAGACCTGGATAATAGGGACATAGTCTTTGATCTGTGATATTTTAAATATGAGAATAACTAGGAATAAGCTTCTGGGGCACTGATCATGTCAGTGTATAATAGCAAATTTATAAAGCTGTGAAAGAAAAGTGGAAATAATCATTGCACCTGGGAAGTTACACGGCACAAGTATGTGGCACACCATCTCCTGTGTTCAAGTTCTAAATTTCAGAAGCAACAGTTATGCCTCTTTGATCTTTTTATTCCTAACTAGAGGCCCAATGCACAAAATTCGTGCAAGAGTAGGCCTTCCTTTCCCAGCTGCCGGCACCAGCTTCCCTCTGGCACCTGGGACCCGGGCTTCCCTGTGGCCACCAACAGGCACCCGGGACCCAGACTTCTCTCCGGCCACCAGCAGACACCCAGGACCCAGGACCTGGGATTCCCTCTAGTCACCAGTTTTGTCCAAAGGATGTCCGGTCTAATTAGCTTATTACGCTTTTATTGTTATAGATAACTGTGTTTTACAACTCCAATCATTTGTCTCTAACAGATGCTATAATAGCAGCAAGAAACAAATTCTGTCACTGAGGACATTTGAATGTATGTGCAAGATACTCATCAAACATATCAATAGCCAGAATAAATTTTTTTAAGTCAGATTTTCACCAAGAAAAATCTGACTTAGCTCTAAGGTTGTCTTTCAGTCTTCCATAGAAAACAAACTACAACTGATACATTTTGGGTTTGTTTGTTTGTGGTGGTGTTGTTCTTTTAATTAAACAAAAAGGACCCATGTGTTCCAGGGAGGATCACCAGCAGCCGGAACCATTGAGAGCTCTTTTGGTCTTATACCCAGTACCCCAGGGAGGAGAATGGTGCAGGTCACTCTTGGTCATGAGGGAGGCATTGATTCTTGAATTTTTTACTCTTTCTGTGGTACCTTTCAGGGAGCCTTACAGATAAAAAATTTGATGTGGACAAGCGAGCAATGAATCTCGGGGATTTTAATGATATCATGAGGAAGGATCGATCTGGGTTCCGTCCACCTAATTCCAAAGACATGGGAACCACAGATAGTGGGCCTTATTTTGAGAAGGTGAGTTGAATCCTTTATTTAAGATAATTTATGAGAACCACTTTGGTTTCTATTTGTCCTTTGATAATTCCAGGAGGAAGCATAGAATTACTGAACTAAATTAATGAATAAAACATAAACATCATCTGATTTAAATGGTGACATGAAAACAGTTGATGTTAACTGGTGATTATGCAGGAGCTAGAACCATCAGTCTTTAGGTATTGATATGAGCATTGTGAAGAAGGTCTAAATTTTAAAAAGTTTATGAAGTTTGGAGAAGAGAAATTGTCTAATTATACATAATGGGGGAAATGAAAACATGTAGAAGAAATTTTAGAGACGTTTCTGAATTATTTTTTCTGCTACTTTTTGTGCAGTTGAAAATTAAATTTCAATATCTTATGCAAATACTCTGTGTCTCCGAAAGCCTTGCCTTCTAGCTGTCACGATAACCCAAAACTTTCTCCTTTGCTATTTCTAAGTGTTCTTTGCTGATCTTTTTTCATTTCTTTAGTGATCTATTTAGTTACAGTGGTGTAATTTCAAATTCTTAACTACCTGATTTAAACAAATCATGAATACCTATTTGCTTTGATTTTTAACATTTCTAATGGAGGAGCTTATTCCTGAATTCAGAATACCGGCTTGCAGTGTTCATGGTCTTCAGAAAGCAGTTAAAACCAACATTTTTAGATCTGGCACATTTTTGACACCATTGATCCTGGCCCAGACACCACAATATTCACAAGAAGGTTTACTCTGGCTTCTATTTCTGCCGCTGCAAAGACTAATCAATATTAGATGCATAAAAATAAAGTGTCTGGCAACTTCTGTCTTAGTGCAATGGACAGAATGTGTTACTAACTTAGAGGATAAGAAAAATTTATATCCAAGAAGATGACAGATGGTGTCTGCTGGGCAAAGTGTGATGATTATTATCAGATCCAAATTCTGTCCTTGTTTATTGCTAATACACTCTAACATTGTTTATTCCTAGTGTTTTTTCTCTTTTCCCTTCTTGCATTCTGTTGCTTCACTAACCAACCCTGGTGATTGGCTAACTACTACTTTTCAGCTGACTTTGCCTTTCTCCAATCAAGATGGGTGCCTTGGGGATGAGGCTCCCTGCTCTCCCTTCTCCCCTTCTCCCAGCTACAAGCTGTCTCCCTCTGGTTCCACACTACCCAACGTCAGCCTTGGAGCAATCGGCACAGGGCTCAACCCCCAAAACTTCGCTGCTAGACAAGTAAGGAGGCCTCTCAAATTTATCACTGCTTGACTGTGGCCTCGCCTTGGCCCTGGTCTGAAGTTTATTGCATCATTTGTCTGTCTTGGGAAATTTGTTGATTACTGAATGCACAGAATGATATTAAGTATAGGCTTTAGATCTTTCAGCCCATAGAACCCATCTCTCTTCATGTTTCTCAACATGGATTTTATTTTAAATCTGTTTCTTTTGTCTTCTCATCCCTTGCTCTCTAGTCAACTAATAACTGCCTAAGGAAAATGTTAAAGAGGCTACATAGGTAACTTACATCATCTAATTTAGCAACATATTTGCCATTTTCAACATTAGATTAAATGTCAAGTACTAATACTTTGAAGGTATTTTCAATTTAATAAAACTGCTAATTGAGGGCTTTCGCATCTTAAAATCTAGTATCTTTAAAGTGTGAAATATAATAATTACCCAGAGAAAGTTAACTTTATTAGATAACTAAGCTTTGATAAGATGATGCTGCTCAGGCTTGGCAGTGTTTTCTTCAGCCTGGAGCAGCCCCTTTCCTAGGGTCTGATCTGTGAGTCTCTGGGGAAGGGCATGCCATAGAAACAAGACGGGCAAGGCTGGCATGGTGATGCCCACTTGCTTTCGCAGGACTGAGGGGACGCAGCAGGCCTTTGTCTGTCACCCGCAGGATCTCTGTTGCAGTTTTTGTTGAGAAAACCAGGAATTTGGAGACAATTCCTTTATGACAGTGACTCTACGATGATATTTTCCTAGTCATAGTTCTGTGATTTTCACCTCAGGATGTCAGGAAAGGACATTGAATTTTTAGTTGCATTCATTTTATTTCCACATGACTTTTCACATATAAAGAATGCTATAAAACATCTCTTATACCATAATCCTCACAAAGCATATAGTTCTTTCATATGCTCTTTAGTTATTGCCTTAGCATATTTTAAAAAATGGATAGTATATCCATGTGTTCATATTGGTTATAGCACATTTTTAATGGATTATACTATATCCATGTGTTCAGATTGGTTATCTCTAGATTGGGAGTTACAGGTAATTTTTTTCCTTTATATTTCACTGTTTCTCTTAATGTTTCCACAGAGGATAAGGATATGTATTACTAATATTAACATAGAAGAACAATTATATCAGTGTTTTGGGGGGGGCCCTTTTGTCTCCAGTCGAGGTATAGAAAATATAAAGTAGTCAAAACACTCTTTGTTAATTATAATTATGAACATGCTTCCAGGGTTACATGATAATCAAATGCTGTTATACATAAACATTAGTGTAACAGGCCAGCCAACCCAGCTGTGCCCTGGACTCTGTGAAAAGGTCATTCCTCGTTGTCCTGTTGATCTGTGGAATGCTGCAAAGTCCATCGTGAGCCAGGTCGATACACGCACGCTATCCAAATGTGGTCATGGTTTTTTCATGGTGTTTTTTAAATACAGACTTAAAATGTAAGGGGTTTTTTTGTGTGTTATTTTTCAAATCACATAAGATTTCAATGAGCTTGGTAACTCTTTTTAATGTATGTACCTTTGTATGTTAAACACTGTAGTTGTGGCAAATTTCACCAATACTTATGAGGACTTAGGTCATCATAAAAGCCTTACATATCACAGTAAAGTTTTAGAGAGCCAGATAAATTATCATTAATGTGTACATTTTGGTGACCATTTTCCTAATTTCTAAAAGACTTGACCTGTATGATTGCCACTAAGTACATTGCTGTGCACAATAGCTACTTCTGAGCCAAGAAAATGACTAGCTTGTAAAGCCAACATTTCATATAAAAAATACAGAAGAAAAAAATAGAGAAGGTATATTTTTTTATAGAATACTGTTGACTTCTCTATAATAGTGACCACATCAGATATATCAAACTGCTTGGCATGGCTTTAGAGACACTTGATAATGAAAACCTAAAATCTTTGGTGGAAGTGGGGTAGAATCTGTCTACTAGGCCTAGGAAAGGAGGGCTTGATTTTACAAAAGCTAAAAATAGCAAGTTCCGCAGAAACCGGTTTGGCTCAGTGGATAGAGCGTCAGCCTGTGGACTGAAAGGTCCCAGGTTTGATTCCGGTCAAGGGCATGTACCTTGGTTGCGGGCACATCCCCAGTGGGAGATGTGCAGGAGGCAACTGATCGATGTTTCTCTCTCATCGATGTTTCTAACTCTCTGTCTCCCTTCCCCTCTATAAAAAAATCAATAAAATATATTTTTTAAAAAATAGCAAGTTCCTTTATTTTTAATGTATTTTTATTGATTTCAGAGAGGGAGAGATAGAAACATCAATGATAAGAAAGAATCATTGATCGGCTGCCTCCTGCACACCCCCTACTGGGGATCGAGCCTGCAACCTGTGCATATGCTGTTGACTGGAATCGAACCTGGAACCATTCAGTCCGCAGGTCGACACTCTATCCACTGAGCCAAACCAGCAAGTTCCTTTTAATACTTCTTACCAAAAGAGATTAAAATTAAAAATGATCCTCACAAAGCAGCTTTGGACTTGTTTAAACATGGAATATGGCAAGGACTTTAGCTACCAGACCCCACCATTCAAGGACCAGTCCATATGAATAATTAACATGTAATACAAGATTATTAGTTTGATAGTAAAGTGTCAGTGAGAACAGTCTTAGCAAAATATTCCTTAGACCAGCGGTCGCCAACCTTTCGGACCTCACAGACCACCAGTGGTCCGCGGACCGTCAGTTGGCGACCGCTGCTAGACCACTCGGCACCTTAGATCACTCAGCCATCCTGACCTTGCAGAATATTCTTAGCAAAATAAATGCTTCCTGTTTTTTAGGAATGATTATTAGCTAAGCTGTTGACTACTATCATGGCCACACAAAAGTTAGAGCTGAGTCATTTCACCTTAGGGTGACACTTTGATTAGTAAGACAGGAGAAAAAGAGATACTATTCAAGTTTTTAGAATTAGTATTTTCTTGTTTAAACAATTCTTTGGGAGATTTAAATTTTATGGTGAATCTTTGATTTTCTTTTTAGGTAGACAGATTTTTTTATTGCCATTTCTACTTTATGTTCATAATCATTTTTATTTTCAGTGCTTTCAAGTTTATTAATTTCCCTGCAGCATTCCCTTAATCTTTTTTAAATCATTAAGCCATTAAAATGTCTTTAGTATTCTAGAACTTAATGCCATTACGAAATTTTGTAAAATACCTTATCCCCCTGATTCCAGGGATAAGATGATGGTGGTTCCTTTGGTTCATTGTACACATGCTTGATATAAGCAATGGTATAGCTGTCTTCACTGACAGTGCTCAGTGGGCCGTCTTCAAGTAGACGAAATTGGTGGGTCATGGATGTTTGCAAATGATGTGCTCATCCTACAGACCAGGGCTTTATTGAGCTTTGGGAATACAAAGAAGGACATGTGGTGGGAAGACCAAATGGAAAATAACTAAAATGTAATTTGATGATGGACATTATCAGAGAGTTTTAAAGTGTTTTGAGAACACAGAAGTGGGCTTAGTTCATTTGAATGTGAATGAGGAAGGTTTTGAGGAAAAACTTTCTTAGTGAGGACAACTCCTGAGCTAGGCCTTGAAGAGGCCAAGTGAAGGTGGTGCAGAAAACTGCCTCAGTCAGAGGGAACACAGTATCAGGTATGGTGTGTGATGTCTTTGCTGAAGGACTTTTCTCAAGACGAAAGGGCCATACAGCCCCCCTTTCTGTAGCTTTTTGGAATAGTCTAAAACTGCTCCAGTGAGTTGGTCCTCCAGAAACCAGGCAGTTAAGTTTGTTTATTAACTAGACTAATTGTCGTACATTTGAATGGGAAGTTACAGGTGAGTAATGTTCGTTTTGGTGTCCCTGTAAAGATTTTTCTCTTTTCCCCATTCTTTTCATCTCGCTGATTGATTCAGATCTCCTCATCTAGCAAAGAAGGGACCAAGCAGACCCAAGACAGGGAAGGGTATTCAGATCTGGAGTAGGGTTCTCATGGAGCTGGGCTCATAACTGGTTGGCCCTGACTTTATGATTGAACTAACCAGAGAACTAATATCATGTGTTGTTTCACAGTAATATTATTCATAAGCCTGCATTTTTACTCAGTTGCCTTTCAAAATGGATCTCAGTTAATAAGGCTTGAGAATAAATATGGTAAACCCAATCTTAAGGAAAGTTGAAATAAATCTTACATGGCCTGTGCCTTTCAATACATACATACATACATACATACATACATACATACATACATAAAATGAGTGCCTTTTCTAACATTTGACTAAATTTAACCCTTTTGGTTTATAGAGTTAATCAGATTACAGGGGTGGTAATAATATGGCCATGATTGAATTAGAATAATATTCCTGAGCATTCCAAGATCAGGACTTTTCAGGTATAAAATTCTGTGAGTCAATGGAAAATAAGATGCAATTCTTCTGAGGGATGGAAAATCTGGACTGTTTCTTATTTGCATTTTCTTATGTTAACAAAAAGCCTTACTGTTGCATTATGTTTGCAGGGTGGCAATCATGGTTTGTTTGGAAATAGCACAGCACAATCGAGAGGTATGCACACACCAGTGCAGCCACTAAATTCTTCTCCTAGTCTCCGGGCGCAAGTGCCTCCCCAGTTTATTTCCCCCCAGGTAAGCAATTGTGTGTTTCCACAATTCAAAAGTAAATCCCATTCAGGTGGTTGACTGGTTTTGTGGGCATAAAGGGAATAATAGTAGTCTTAAATTTGAAAAATCCAAATGCCAAAGATCAAGATTTTTAAAACAAAATATCAAATCTTACTTTTTTATTGTATTGTGCATACAAAGTAGATGTTTTTGCATGAAAAGCATTATGGTTATATTCCTTTTACATCATATATTTTTCTAATACTGTATTGGTTTTTAAATTGTATTTGATTAAAACTGCTTTATAAATTCTGTTGTGTCAGTATTCAGAAATTAGTTGCCCTCAAAGATTTACCCACAGATGAACCAGAAAATTGCCAGATTCTGATTTTTCTAAGAAGTTTTGAGGAGCTATTTGCTAAGATACAGACTAGGTACTCTGGGAGTAGTTTTAGAACTAAAGAAGTCGCAGAGACTTGTTCATGGAGCAGCTCTGTAAGACAGTCTCTGGGAACCGTGGGAACTTTTTAGATCCATTTCTTAATAGGAGATATGAAATAAGTTTTGAGGGGGTACAGGTGAGAGATTTGTGCCAATCTACCACATACTGTCCCTCATACCTGTCAGGAGTAAGTAAAAGCTGATAAGCTTGTGTAAGGGTTCAGTGTGTGACCTTAGTCTCCCTAGAATGTTACTTTAATGAACTAAGTTAGAACAAGAGCTTTGAGTCCCATCCTGCAAAAGGGGGTGAGGCAATTACTAGATCCAGCAAACTGGTTGTAAAAGATCGGATTTTGTTTAGTTTTTTGAAACGTCTTTTAAGACAAAAGCTTAAGATGTTTATTTGAAACCATATCTATAGATTTCAAACCCTGTTTTTGACATTAAGTCCATATCTGTCTTAGTAGAAGAAGAAATGAGTGTCTCTCATTCCCTTTGTGCTCTCTAAGTTCCAGTCATACTTCATGTCGCATATAGTGGTGTGTCCTCCAGACAGATCTGTTCCTGACTTCCCCAGTACTTGCAGTGGCAGTGTCTTAATCCTTGGAGCACTTTCTATTAGCATGCCTTAGTGTCGGATCAGCAGTCATTCATGGTTATTGAATATCTGCAGTGTGCTAGGTAGTGTGTTGACAGTGCACATCTCTGCCTCCTGGAGTTGAAGAGTAGGCAGAAAGTGTGATAAATGTTGTATAGAAATGCTTAACAGAGTTTGGGGAGCTGGACAAGGCCTCACACTAGCAGTGACATTTAAGCTGGTTCTTGAAGCATGAGTCACAGTTTGCTGGGCACAGCCAGATTAGTGGAGCCTTCTAGGCAGCAGAAGCAGCTTGTGTAAAAGACAGTAATATCTGGAAGAAAATGGCACGTTCAGGGAAATGCATTTAATTTGAGTGATTAGTTTGAGCTTGTAGAAGCATATAGTTGCTGTCTAGAGTAGAATAGGAAGAAGCTAGTCAGGAAGTTTGGGACCAAATTTGGAAAAACTTTGCTTTGCTAAGTAAGAATTTGGACTTTGTCCTTTGGTCTGCATGGTTTATAACCATTATTTGGGCTATTACTTAAAAAATATTTGAGTTCCTAGGTCTCCCCCAGGATACTGAGACAGAATCTTGGCTGTTGGAGCCTATTTACCTCCAGGTGATTTTGATGTGTACCCTAAGGCTGCTACTGCTATAGATCATATACTATAGGGCAAGATTTTTTTAGCTGAGTGACAGTGTAGGAGAATTTATGTTTTAGAAAGATAACATTGACAGTAACATAGAGGACATGCTTGAATAGCAGAATTATTAGAGCAAAGGAGATCAGTCAAGATGCTAGTCCAGGAGTTCAATGGCAGTGGGAATTCAGACCTTCTTGTGAAGGTCACCAAGGATCTTTGTGTTGTGGAATACAATGGTCTATTCTCTCGCTTCTTCTTACTCAGTGTATCAGCAGCATTTGACACTGTCGGTCACTCCCTCTTTTTTTAAAAAAAAACTGTTAAATTGTTTATTTTTATTATAATTTCTTATTTATCTCTTATTTTCCAAAGTAATAAATGGCAAGTAAACATTTACTCTCTGTCCAGTCACAATAAAAATTGCCTTTATTTCTCATTACCGTCTTTGCTTACTCTTTAACAGAAATAATATTCTGTGCTCTAAATTTAATACAATGTCTTGATGTACCTCACCTGACATCAGGCATGAAATAAGTAGGTAGCAATAGCCAGAGATACTTTTCTCTGTGGAATATTCAGTCATATTAAGAAGGGCATAGCACTTTGTACTAGGGACTCAACCAAGTATGTATTCTAGCAAAAAAAGGGCTTAGGAAGCCATTTTTATTTATATTTTAAAACATTTTTTATTTTTCAATTACAGTTGACATACAATATTATATTAGTTTTAGGTGTACACCCCAGTGATTAGACATTATATAACTTACTGTGATCATCCCAATAGATCTTGTACCCATCTGACACCATACATAGTTATTAGAATATTACTGACTACTAGAGACCCGATGTACAAAATTCGTGCAAGGGGGTTGGCCCCGCCACCATGATGGCTGCTTTGGTCCCCACTCTCTGTGGCAGCTGCCTCTGCCTTTGCTGCCGCCACAGCTTTGTCCAGAAGGTCGTCAGGTTAATTAGCATATTATGCTTTTATTATTATAGATAGATATTCCCTATGCTGTACTTTATATTCCCATGACTGTTCTGTTACTTCCAATTTGTATCGCTTATTTCTTTCACCCTTAACACCCAATTCCCTTTCCTCCCCCAAATCGTTTTCTGTATCTATAAGTCTGTTTCTGCTCTGCTTGTTCGTTTGGTTTTTAGATTCGATTGTTGATAGATATGTACTTATTGCCATTGTATTGTTTATACCTTTATCTTTTTTCTTCTTCTTACAGAAGACCCTTTAACATTTCATGTACTATTGGTTTGGTGGTAATGAACTTCTTTAGCTGTTTTGTTTTGTTTTTGGGGGTGGGGGGAGTTGCCAATCCCTTCTGTCCTGCAAAGTTTCTATTGAAAAATCAACTGACAGTCTAATGGGAGCTCCCTTGTAGGTAACTAACTGCTTTTCTGTCGCTGCTTTTAAGATTCTCTCTTTGTCTTTAACCTATGTATTTTAATTATTATGTGTCTTGGTGTGGGCCTCTTTGGGTTCATCTTGTTCTCTCTAAGTTCATTTACTAAGTTTATTGAGCATCCTTATAACCAGTGTTTTGAACTCTGCATCTAATACATTGCTTGTCTCCATTTTTATTTAGTTCTTTTTCTGGAGTTTTGTTCTGTTCTTTCTTTTGGGACATGTTTCTTTGTCTCCTCATTCTGGCAGCTTCCCTGTGTTTGTTTCTATGTATTCAGTAGAGTTGCTACACTTCCTGGGCTTGCTAAAGTGGCCTAATGTAGTAGGTGTCCTGTAGGGTGCAGTAGCTCAACCTCCCTGTCATCTGAGCTGAGCACTCCCAAGTTCTTCCCCCGACCCCCCACCGTGTGGGCTTTGTACACCCTCCTATTGTAGTTGAGCCTTGATTGCTGTTGGCACATCAATGGGATCATCTGTGCAAGAGCCCACCCCACAGAGCAGGACTTACTTCAGCAGGGCCCTGGTGCCTGCTGAGTTCACCCCTTGAGTGTCGCTGTGGAGGTGTTTGGGTGCTTCATCATGTTCTGAAGCTTTTCCCCAGATACTCTGGATCTGGGGCCTCCCAGAAGGTATAAGCCAAGGTTATCCACCACCTATATTCTGCCAGGGCTACCTGGCATGAGCTACAAAGTGATCTGCAGATGGCTGCCACCTGTGCTTGACTTGAAGGTACCCAGTAAAGACCAAGCTGCAAACGAAGGCTTGCTGCCCTAGTGCCAGGCTTGGGGCCACTTAGAGGTATGGGGCATGCTAAAATGAGATGCTGCTTGTTTGAGAGATTTTAGGAAAGTCTGAAGCATGAGCCAAGACAGGCCATTCAAATGCAAAAGCCACTGGAAATAGCTTGGATGGGCCCAACAAATTGGTGGGGTGGCATCTCAGAGAATCACCAGGGCAGAGCAAACAGTGATAGCCAGGTTGAAGGAGGCTCAGATATGGCACCTACCTACTGGCTCTTTGGGGGAAGGGCTTGGAAAGAGAACAGTGGCCTCTGCCAGCATTTATGTCTGGGAGAAAGCTGCCTCACCAGCCCTCTCCCAATGCCAGACACTTCATTTCCTCCCCGTATATTCCTGGTGCCTTCCAAGTTGCTGCCCCAGCGCTGGAACTCAGAGCACTCCTTCCTTTTTTGAAATACTTAATTCTTTGGCTTTCAGACTCCTTCTATATTGGTTCTCCAGCTACCTCTTCTCCATCTCCTTTATAAGTTTCTTCTAACTCTTTAACCTTTAAATATCAGAGTGCCCCTTTCTCAAACTTCAAACCTCCTTTCCCCATCTACAGTGACTTCTAGGTGATCTCACCCAGTGGAATGGCTTGAAATATTTAGAATTCCAAAATTGTGTCCTCAGCCTAGATCGCTCTTCTTAACTCCACAGACTTCTGGGGATCTCTACTAGGATGCCTTTGGCATCTCAGATTAATATGTCCAAAACAGAGCTGCCTTCATCCTACACTCCCTCAAAAACATACTCTTCCTCCAAGTAAATGGTACTCTCATTCTGCAGGTGTGCAGGTCACAGACCTGAGACCTAATTGTGCATCTTCTCACAGTCCATATCCAGTCTGTCAGCAAATCATTCCTTCACAACTATATCCAGAATCTGACCATTTCTTACCACTTCCTCTAATATGACCCATGGCCAAGCCACCGCCATTTCTTTCCTAGAAATGGCCTCCTGGCTTCTAAAACTGCGCTATGTGATGCAGCCATTAGCCACCTGCGCACTTGAAATGTGACTAAATGCAAGAACTAAATTTTTAATTTTAATTAATTTAAATAGCCACAACTAGTATATGAACAGTACAGATAAAAACATTTATATCAATGTAGAAAGTTAAGGTAAATCAAGTTACTACTTTACTGGGTATCAGTCCTCTTATCACTCTCTCTCACTGAGAACACAAAGCCAACTCTTAACTGGGGTCTTTGAGGCTCTTGGTGATATCCCCACCTCTACCTGCCACTCTCCCATTTGTTCAGGCCTCTCCTGCCAACAAGCCCCAGCACACTGAGCATGTTCCTGGATCGATCTCCCAGATTGCCACATGACTTCATCTTTATTTCCTTTGGATCTACGCTTCAGTGCCCCCTTATCAGAGAGGCTGTGTACAGTACACCACCACCCACTGGTCCTCTCCCTCCTCTGAGCATGGATTTTGAGCTTAGTAAATTTATGTCAAATCATGGGAAGATGCATTTCTAAATGATTTAGAAAATGGAATTGTTAGAAAAGCACAGTTAAATTCATCTAAGAGACTTAGATAAGGCTGCAAATTTCGTTATGACCAAAGTATCTGTTCTACTTGGAAAATAAAAATACCTGTGTTCTCCTACATTTTTGAAATTTGTTTACTTAGCAAAATGTGATTAACATAGGGGAGGTCAGTATTTAATGTACACATAGAAAGAAGACATTGAAACTAATCTTTAAGATTTGTTACTACAAATGTTCCCGGCCTTGGGTTTTTCTACCTTACTCAAATATTCAGAAAGTAACATATTCTAGCAAGCTTTTGTCTTGCTTTTAAATTGCTGTCATTTTGCACCTGCAGTGCTTCGTTAACTGCCATATTGGCTCCAACTAGATCTTCACTTTCTCCAACCCAGCTGGAAATTGATGGCTTTTAAGCCAGAGTAATTAACTCCCTGCTATGGGAATGTGCAAACCTGCACTTTAATTACTCTGCAACCCAGGTACAAATAGCCATTTGCCAGGAGCTAGTCGTGCTTCTCTCTGGTCCTTCTGTATCATCAGAGAAGGACTATACATGTGCAATCTGAAGAAGAGAAAGGTTGAGCAAAGCTAGATAGGAAGTCCTCAAAGTGTAACTGTTATAGTCCTTGTAACTGTCAACTTGTGAAACCTATGAGATGCTGGCATTTAAATTAAATTATAAAATGATCTTGTGTTAGTGTTTCTTTACTTTGTAGTCTTTGTGCATGTTCACCCTTAAACAATCTATTGTTTCATTTTGCCTTTTTTGCACTTTATGTAATGAAACCATACAGTATATAGCTTTCTCTGACTATTTTTACTTCGCAATGTTTCTGAGATTTTCCCATGTTGATTTGGGCAGTTGCAGTTCATATAGTATTTCATTGCATGAATACAGCATCATATATTTACCAATTCTACTACCAGTAGATATTTGGGCTGTTTCCAGATTTTTGCTATTGTGGGCAGTACTGTTATGGATAGTCTTACATTTCTCTCCTAGGATGAATTTCTCTAGGTTACTGCTATGTAACATGGGCATGTTTTATTTGGAATGGTAGTTTCTTTTGCTGATTTTGAGTATTAGGAATAGTAAGGGGAGGAAATAATAGACTCCGGGCAAGGGAAGGCATACATTCTCAAGAGAAATGCGTTTATCAGGAGACTAGCTTGATTTGATCAGTAGAGCTTTTAAAACTGAATGAAGGAGTGGGGAGAAATGAAAGTTCAGACAATGGCTTTTTATTTTGGAGGCCAGTAGATTGGGAAACAAGTGGAGGGGATTTCCCATGAATCATAAAAAAAAGCGTTGGAAAAGAAGTTAGAAACAGTGGTCTAGAATAGCACTGTCCAATAGAAATATAAATGAGCCACATAATGTAATGTGAAGTTTTTAGTAGCCACATTTAAAAAGATGAAAAGAGCCCTGGCCAAGTGGCTCAGTTGGTTGTCACCCATCCCATATACCAAAATGGTTGCGGGTCCCAGTCAGAGCACATACCTCCTACATTGTGGGTTCAAACCCTGGTTGGAGTGCATTTGGGAATCAACCAATTGATGTTTCTCTCCAACGTCAATGTTTCTCTCTCACCACCACCCCCACCTCTCTCTCCCTACCCCTCTCTCCAAAATCAATAAAAACATTTGTTTAAAAAAAGAATCATAGCTTGCTAACAAGTTTTGATTTAACTCATTTCCTTCTTTGATTGGTTAAAAAAAAAAATCTTGGATTATAAGAACGATACAGTTGTATCTCTGTTTTTGACAAGCCAGTTGACAAGCTATCTCTTTGTTTCAGACAAGGTGGGAAAATGTAGGCTAAATGCTGAAACAGTTGTGTGGATTAGTAAATGACTGACTGACACTATTCCCAAGCTGATCAGTTTCAGGTCGGAGAGGAGTTTTTAGTGGCAGTTTTTATTACTAGATTATCCTAAGCTCTGTCAAGTTCAACATTCTCATCGATGATGAGATGGAGAAACAAAAACTGGGGATAAGTAGAATAATAAGGCAGAAAAGAATTTGATGGAGTGACTGTTAATAAGTTAAACTATAGTGTTCTCTTAATAGGTATTTATCAAGCATCTACTATGTGCCATGCACATAAAGATAAATGTAAGGTCCTAAGATCAAAGCATAAATTAATAAAATTTTAAAACCTAGCTGTTTAAATATTATATAGGGGAGCAAAACATTTTAAAATATTGTAAGTTTTATTTTTATTTTTAAATATTGAGATTTTAATTGACAATAAGCTTAGTATCTGAATTGGGAGTTCTGATGCAATCATCAGAGAAACTGAGACCTTAGGCATCAATAACAAAAGCATGGCTTTTAACAGAAGGGTTAGTGGTGGCCAGGTCTACTCAGTACTAGACTATTCTAGGAAATGGCTTTCTGTTCTGGGCTCTGCATTGAGAAATTGAATGAGATTCAGGTGGAAAAAAAACAAACAAAACATACTTAGCCTAAAGATGAGACACAAGAAAACTGTAATCATTGTCTCCAAACATTGAAAAACCATCCTGAGAAATAAGAGCATTTATGGGGTGCATTTTTAAGCATTTGACATGGATTAACTCATAAAATTCTCAAGCAATCACTGAAGTTAACATTATTATTCCAATTTGGGAGGTAAGGAAAATGAAGCTCAGAAAGGTTAAATAAGTAGCTTTCCCTGAGTCACACGCCTAAGAAATGGCAGACCTATGCAGTCTGCCTCCAGAACTAAATAAACTCTTGACCAGTGTGCTTCTTGCCACTCCTGGAAGAGGGATTAAGTTTGTTGTCCTTGGCACCAGCTGATTCAGTGGATTCAGTGAAAGAACATGCAGAGAAACTCAGCTCAGGTCAGATAAAACATCTTAAATGAGCAGTCGGAATACGGAAGGGAGTCCTGCGTCTGCCCCTGGAGCTTCCTGCAGCCTAGCCTAGGTCACTCCTGACAACCATGGAGAAGGAACCAGCTGAGCCAGTGTCTCTTATTTTTTAACAAATACTTTCTTTCTTTTAGGCATTTATTTAGTAGCTTTATATGGCTTGATATATTTTGTTTTCTGGCACATTTTGAGTAATAATTTCTCAGACAATTGTCATATTGTCGTTAAAATTTCCTGATCTTGCCAATGTTTTCCTGATTGTAAAGTTCATCATTTTTGTTGTAAAAAAATTAGAAAATCTAATAAAAGAATTTAAAAGCTCATACACTATCACCACTCAGAGATAACTTATCATTATTAACTCTTTGATGTAATTTTCCCAATCATGTAATGTTTTTCAAGGAAAAAAAATTGACTCTTGTTTTAGATCTATTAAGATTATTTCCACACATGAATAATTTATTTTGATAAATTCTGGCAGTTCATCATTTTTGTTCTTTTTATTTTGTTTTTATTTTTCTGGCTAGGTTTCTGCCTCAGTGCTCAAGCAGTTTCCCAACAGTGGCCTGAATCCAGGTCTTTTCAATGTGGGGCCCCAGTTATCTCCTCAACAAATTGCCATGCTGAGCCAGCTTCCACAGATTCCCCAGTTTCAGTTGGTAAGTAGCAGATTTTCCTCCCGTAACTAAAATGGTTATGTACTTTTTCTTTAACTTGATTTGCTTCATTTTATGTGCGCTCACCTGGGGGTAAAAATGACCCATAGACCAAGAACTTGGTGGCACTTTCCTCGTGGACTCTTGACTCAGGAAGCTTAGGGCCTCTCTCTTTCTTCCCTGTAGGCATGTCAGCTTCTCCTGCAGCAGCAGCAACAGCAGCAGTTGTTACAGAACCAGAGAAAGATTTCTCAAGCTGTGCGCCAGCAGCAAGAGCAGCAGGTACATGGGATTGCAAGGGTCCCTCGCTAGTGCTCTTTGTAAGGAGTGCATTTCTACGAAACCTCCTTGATAGCAAAAACAAACCATATGCAATCTTTTCGTGTGAAGTTCGGGATGTTGCCTTACCGTGTGTCTGTTTTCCCTTGGGCCTCCTTGCTCTGGACTGCCCGCCTCCAGCTGGCTCGAATGGTGAGTGCACTGCAGCAGCAGCAGCAGCAGAGGCAGCCGAGCATGAAGCATTCACCGTCTCATCCTGTCGGGCCCAAGCCACATCTGGACAACATGGTACCCAACACTCTGAATGTGGGGCTCCCAGACCTTCAAACCAAAGGGCCAATCCCTGGATATGGTTCCGGTGAGTTGTTAGTAATGAGAATTAACCTTTTTTTAAGCCTATGGTAAGGACTGAACCTACATTACCCTCTGTTTTCATAACAGCCATACAAAGTGTATATAGTCTTATCCCTGTCTTACAGATGAGAGGTATCTGAGTTATTAACCTCTGGGAGTGTCTATAGGTTTCAGAAGCTTACCATACAATGAGTAAATAGCAAAGACAGGGCTCCAACTTCTGATCAAAAAGCAGTCTTTTTATATGGATGAATGGCAGTCTGCTTCCCAAGAAGTAGGAATTTTTAAAAACTGGTTTAAATGTTTGTATATGCTGTGAGTGCTACAGGTACCTGAGGTTATAACATATTAAAATATATACAAGTTGAGATGTTTAACTTGACTGATAAAATTACCTTCTCTTGAAAAAATGGAGAACTAAAATTAAATTTATAAGGCAAACTGATAAAATTCTTCTGATATTTGTATTTCATCTGATTTAAATAGAATTAGCACAAGTAAGGTTACACCTTTGACATTCATAAAGAATTTCTTGGCAGGCAAATCATAGCTCTTTCAGAACTGAGGAACATGCTGTAAGCAGAATCCAATCAGTGAGGCAATAGTTATTTAAAAATAAATTTTAAAAATTAAAAACGTACCACACCACAGCAGGTTTCTTCTCAGATTCACATTTAGATTTTATTTTGATAAAGAAGGTACCTCTACTGTGCAAACTCAAAGCAAGAAAACCTGAAATCCATGCTCCCAGGTGGCAGAGTGACCCTGGACAATGACCTTGCTCTCTGTGCTCTAGTTCTGTGAGGCACCTACTTATATATGTTTTTATTTCTTTCAGAGAGAGGAAGGGAGAGGGAAAGAGAGATAGAAACATCAGTGATGAGAGAGAATCATCTATTGGCTGCCTCCAGCCTAGGTGTGTGCCCTGACCGGGAATTGAACTGTGACTTCCTGGTTCATGGGTTGACGCTCAACTACTAGCAACACTGGCCAGGCTCAGTTATACTCTTTCTTAAAAATGACCTGAGAACTGACTTAAATTCAGTATATCCCTTCTACCACTTGACACAGAAGGGCTGACTCCCCACTATCCCATATCTTGTTAGGGCATGCTCATCTGTGTATCGAACACAGGGTACCAAGCAAGGAGGAAGCCTCCCATAATAACTAATGAAGGTGTCATTATCTCCTGGGTTTCCAGTCTGCTTGTTCATCATGTTTTCTGTTAAGGATGAAGCTTGACATAAGAACCTGGGTGTTTTGGTATGTGTTGAGTTGTTCTGAATTTAGACACCATATGCCAGGGGTAGGGAACCTTTTTTCTGCCAAGGACCATTTGGATATTTATAACATCATTCACAGGTCATACAAAATTATCAACTTAAAAATTAGCCTGCTGCATTTGGTCAAACGTTTAATTAACTCACCCCTAATGCCTTGGCAGAGCCAGACCAAATGATTCCGCAGGCTGGACATTCCCCACCCCTGCCATATGTTGTAATAAAGCAGGACAACTTTGCTTCTTCCATTTCTTTTTGTCAAAGAATATGTAGTTCTCAAAGTAGAGTCCAGGCAGTTCAAAGCAAAGAGAGCTTTTGCAAAGTTGCAAGTAGCTTTTCCACGTATTTAAGTGCACATGGTTCTTTTCAGCTCTTCTCAGTACTCATCCCTAGAGCATGCCTCAGGTGGAAAGAAAGGCTCCTTCAAACAGCTTGAACATACAGGTTACTGACAGTACTCTTAAGACACGTTTTCAGCCCTGGCCTTTGTGGTTTAATGGGTTGGGCATTGTCTTGTGCATCATCAACAGGTTTCTGATTTGGTTCCGGGTCAGGGCACATGCCCAGGTTGCAGGCTCAACTCTAGGTTGGGGGTGCAGCCAAGCAATATTGCTCTCACACATCAATGTTTCTCTCTCTCTCTTCTAAAATCAGTAAAAATAATTAAAAAACAAAACAAAACACGTTTTCACAATGCATCAGGTAAAGCCTGTGGATAAACTTTATTACGTGATTTTCTTAATCAGGGCATATATTAGTAAGACCTAAAGTCATGGTGTATTTATCTCAGTGACAATCAGTCTTTAGAACAGCTTTAATATTTTCTGCTCCTATTAAAAAGTAAAATTATACCTTGACTGTGAATCTGTTTTTAGCACATGTACCTTTCTTATTTATTAAGAATATAGAAAAATTTTATCATGATGCCTTGTTAGATTAATGGTATTATTTGTGATTATTGTTTTCGTCTTAACTATTCCTAATGGCTAAAGGATCAGAGTTCAGGATACACACACATACTCATTTATGAAAAAAAATTTTTTATATCATATTCCTGTTGCATAATATTCCTGTTTCACAAGTAACTTATACATTTAGCTATGTATTGAAATCCTATTGAAGCAAGGAGAAAGAACATATTGACTTATTAACCTGTTTACGTTTAATAACTTATTAAACAATAGCTAAGTTAATTTTATTAGGACTTTGTCATATTAATTGTAATCTGACCAGTTTTAATCTTCCTTACAAGATACATTTTGTATAATTTTTCTTAATGTATATTACTTTATTTAAATTGAAAAATATATTTTGGGACTCAAAGTAAGTCTGATTTGGCTGCCTGTTTTGAATAAATCTGTAGCTATAAATTTTGATGAAAATATATTTCAAGCTTATACAGATTAAATTTTTTTCAAAAAAGATTATATGGTAAAGATGTAACAAAATGAATAGTATTTTAATCTTTCCAATGCTGAGTGTATCAATCTAAAAAAGATATCCATGGGTTAAAGTAGCAGGAATAATTCAAATTATCTTAAGTCTTGATAAAGTCTCTTTTGTTATATTTTCTCAAAAAGTTAAATGACTTTTAACTGCTTAACTAATTCTTAATTGATTGTTTCTGTAAAATGGATTTTTTTTAATTCTCTGCTTGTAGCAAAATTGAAAAAATAAATTGTCAGATGATAATGACCTATCTAAAAGTTATGTTTTCATATATATGTTATCAAACCCGGGGGGTGGGGGGATACTTTAGAAAGAATTCAAAAAATAAGTGATGTTATTTCTTAAAAAATTTAAAAAGAAGTGATGTTATACCAAGACTCCTGCTTTTCCAATTTGCTTATTCATATAAAATTTATTAGTACTTTATATCTATAAAAATTTGTAAAATAGACATAAAGTAGCATGAATTTGATCTCATTTTAGTAATAAGCCATAGTCATTAGTAGCTGAACTAATCGGTAAAATAGTGACTCATCTTAATAGAAAATGCATTTCCAATAAAATCTTACTTTTTGTTTAAAATGTATCAAAATTTATAATATTTATGTGTGCATACCTAGTGGAAAGTAAAGTTATGAATATTACAGGTTTTTAAAATAGAGTAATTTGTATCTATGAATGTGGCAATATCATGTACATGTGGACATGGATTAGAACTGTTGTGTTAAATGGGCAACTGTGGGTGGTTTGTTTCTCTTGTAATGTGTTCATTATAATTATTACAAAAGCAGTAGTTTGTTTTTTAATCTACAATAAAAGGAGTAGCAGAAAATAGAAAACTACAGACAAAGGGAGTGAAGGGGGAACAATGAGGGGCAAGTTCATTTGAGAGAGTTTCCTTTAGATGCTAAGCACTGAGCCAAGTGGTAGTGAAGAAGTGAAGAACCGATGAAGAAAGGACAGATAAGATACACAAAGGGTTGTTTGAAAGAATGATAAGAGAACTAACAGGGACATCCTGGTGAAAGGAGTCCCTGGGAAGGCAAGGGGCGTTTCTTATCTCTCTGTACCCGTTGCTAACATAGAATCTGGCACAAATGAGGCTCTCCGGAAATATTCATCAGCTGAAGTAAGTGGTCTGTCTGGTTTGAGTTGAAGTGTTGGTGAACCGGAGAATTGCAGGGAGGCCACTTGGTGGGCAGCTTGGTTTTAATGAAACAGCAAGTGTAATAAAGCCAGAGTTGTCCTGGGTGTAGCGGCATGATAGCTCATAGGTAGCCCAGAGATCACAAGTGGTGTGCTCCTCTGCTTCCTGTGAATGCAGCCACAGAACACAGCGCCCCAGAACCCCTCCCTCCAGAGCTGCTGAGTGCATTCTGTGTCCTGATGCCATGCCAACACTGTATGACATCGAGAAAGAACGAGTCATGTACAACCTTGCACTGATTTTTTTTTTTCCTCAATGGTTTTGGGTTTGTAGGGTAAACCCTTCAAGGCAGTTTCATCTTCTGTCCTTCCTGTCACCCCTTTAATTGTTTTCCTTACCAAACCTTGTTATTTAGTTATGGTGCTGATATATTTTGGTGGCATTTGATCCCCAAGTTTCTAATGAGAATGATGCCCACTTTGCTTAAGGTTCAGATGGACTCCTGAAACTCTCCCCTCTCCTATGATTTATAACTCTTACTAATTTTCTACACTTCATGTGTCACAAAAGAACTCTAAACAGCTGAAATTTAATACCTTTAATTCCCTTTGAGTTTTAGAGAAATTTTAGAGCAACGTTAAAGAAAATTAATGTGTAAGGAATGGTTCCTTATCCTCTTACTAATCCCTACATTCTTGTTTTTAATCTTCACCAGAATCCTGAGTTATTTTCAAAAGCTCTTTCTCAATGACTGGAACCAGCTTTCAGATGGCCTGGAATCCAAGCACCTTGGGCTGGTTTTCTCTGTCAAAGGTAGAGGTGTAATTTGCCCAAGGAGCAACACACTTAGGCCATTAAAGCTTATGTCAGAGAAAGCCCTTGTTCCGTTCAACTTCCCTGCCCTCCAGTCTTATTTCAACTCAGCAACATAGGACAAAAGATGAAAATATCTTAAACCCTATTTTTAAAAAATTGTTTAATTTGAAATAATTTCAGCTCATACCAAGGATTTCTACTCTCCACCCTTCAGTTAGACTAGTGAAGTCAGTTACAGTGTGAAAGAACAGAGTTCTGTATATTTATAGCAACATTTTGAACATGTCAAGAGGGTGTTAGAAATGGACTTGAACTTGATTTATTATGCATTTGTAAAACTATATCTGACAAGTAGGAGAAGCACAGGGGAAAAAACATATCCTGGACCCTCAGTGGGATATGGATAAATGGTATTTAGGGACCAATAAGACACCAGCAGATGGTAGGAGAGTAAAATGGATGCAGCATGGAGTCTTGCATGGCCAGAGCTGCACATTCTAGAGTAAGAATAGATTGGCTTTGGCTCTTGTAAGCCACCTGAGCTTCGGCATGGGGAACCTTGATCACCTCTCTGGGTTGCTACACTTACTATAGCTCTTAATCATCTCTCTGGTTATTCATTGTTCTTCCCCTTCTCTGTTTCATTGCTTTATTTTAGTCCTTTATTTTACTTTTATGACAGTGGGTTTAAAAAAATATTAAGTACATTCTGATCCAAAATGGATGGTGGACCTTATGAAACTCCATCAACGAGTCTCTCACTTTGGCTTTCTCCTGTCCAGCCCTCTGCAGTGGGAAAGCATTTCCCACCAAAACTCTTACAAAACGTCTGACACCCGAGGCTTACGTCGGGGCTCATGGCAAAGTCAGCTCTGAACCTCTTACTAATAACCTATTCGAGCTTTGGTATCTGCATCACTGCATAAAAACTTTTTCAAATTGATATCTCAGATTCTATCCTGGCCTTCAACTATCCATTCTCACCTTGCCAGTTCTCTTTCTAAAATACAAACCTAGCTACTGCTCTCTCACTTGCTTAAAATTTTCTTTATCTCCTGTCTTAGAGGAAAAAAGGTCCAAACTCCTTTACCTGATATATAAAGACCCTGCATGACATGACTCTTCATTTCTCCCCGATCTCCTACCATTCTGCCTCACTTCGTCCATAGTTAGCCAGCCAAGCATTGGAATTACACTGTACTCTCATTCCTTAAATATTGTCATGAGTTAGAGCTTTGTACTTGGTTTCCTTGATTTCCTCACATACTTACCTAGGCCCGAAGTCAAATTTCCCTTCTTCTGCAAAGCCTTTCCTCCCCCGGTGCCCTTACCACAACCTCATAGCTGCTCTTATTCTGTATTAGTTTAATGTGTGGACACCTCCACCTCAGTTGGAGAATCACTGGCCCCAACATTCTATTTGGCACAAATGTCAGCTAAATTAATAGGTGAGTGAGATGGTCTTAATTATATGGCAGTCATACACATTTTCATACCTTAACAGAGGAGTCGTTATGTTTTTAGCAAGCAAGACCAAGATCAGTATTTTGAATTAAAATGTCTGTCTCTGAATGAAACTCCTTGAGAATTAGTCTTTAAGTTACAAATGAATCCATTCATGGGTTCTGCCTCAGAACTCTTGTTACTGATACTAGAAATTTATAGAAAGACATAAAATGTGGTTGTCTGTTTTAGGCTTCAGCTCTGGCGGCATGGACTATGGCATGGTTGGCGGGAAAGAGGCTGGAACAGAGTCTCGCTTTAAACAGTGGACCTCCATGATGGAAGGACTGCCCTCTGTAGCCACACAGGAAGCCAATATGCACAAAAATGGTAAGAGCAAAAAAAGCATTATGAGTCGGAGCTCTTCTGACCCTCAGCAGGCCTTGAAGTGTCCTGTAAAATTATTTTAAAGCATGGATTTATTGCTTTTTTTTTTTTTTTTTTAGCAAGCCTCTTAATTTCTCCCCAAAAAATCTTATGGTTGCCTATGAAGGATGATTGTGTGTGCATTTCAAATTATAAGAATGCTAGTTCTAATTAAAGAGAGCCAAACTTCCCACCTGTGGTGGGATGGGATCGAGTATAGTAGAAGCGAATTTAAGCACCCATTTAGGATAAAACCCTAATGAATTGGCTGAGAGAACAAAAACAGGTTATTTTTAGGTGCTTGAGATCACAACAAATATATTGATTTTTGAACCTTTCAACCTCTAAAAGATGACTAATAGATGAATACATGAGATTTGAACTTTCCACAAAGCTTTCTTGCTCTTTATGGATTACAGCAGTTGAGGGCATTCTAGGCTTTGGTTGTAAATGTGGGTCAGCCCTTCATCTCCAAAGTTCTCTGTAAGAGCTTCTCCATTTCCCTGTAAGACAGATAGAAGGTCTTGGAGTCTTCCTTCACCCTTTGTTTCAATGTTAGTTTCAATAGATAGTAATTGGCTTGGACTCCACTCTGTCTATGAGAACCAAGTATAAATAGGAGTGGGACTGCTGCTGCCCTCCCTGGCAGGCCTCGCCCCATCGTTCTGCAGCCTGCCAGGGCCTGTATAAGCCACTCTTAAAAACATGCCCACCCAGCGGCTGCTCAAGTGGCCACTTGGAGCTCTTGCCTGTTATCCCAAATCGTGTCATTTGATTTTGTGCCACAAAATGAAGAAAGATTTGTAGAAACTAAGATCTGTTTCTGAACTCAATAATCCAAGCCCATCATCTATAGCTTCAGGCACTTACATTGCTTCCTTCCCCAAAGACTTGATAGGTGCAGGACAATAGGTACAAAATGGCCGGTGAGGCTATCGCGAAGGTAGAACAGCCGCTTGCCTTTTTAGCGCTAACACATAATATTTTCCCCATTTCCTTAGCAATCTCCAAGGGACTCGAGCTTTTTGTGCTCTACGGCTACCCTGGACTGTGCCCTCGGATCAGATTTCTTTCAGAGGCTCCAGAAAGTCAGTGACTTCTTAGCTGAGCATGGAGATAGTTTTGTTGATACTCCTGCTAGGCCAAACCAAAGAGATTCTTTTAACCAATATTTATATATAGATATTTTAATACATAGCCTTGGAACTAATTTTATCAGTTCATAAATAGGACCCTAAGAATAGATCAAGTGACACAATACAACATGTAAAATTTGTTTGAGAAATCGGTAGAATTGGTATCTCACGGAAGCTAAAAATGTTATTTAAAGTAAAGCTTATTTTTTTTGTTAGTTGAAGGGAATTTTAAGCATTTGATTTTTTCCTGCCTCGTGGCATATAAAATGTATGAAGCGGGCACTGACAAAACCGCTGAAATGCTCTCAGGAAAGTACTTACAAAGGATTTGCTGTTCTTCGTGTGTGGGGCCATGGATCTCAGAGCTGCAGAGTTCACTGCTGGTCTTGTGCTGGCAAAGACCCTAGGCAGGAATTCCATCTCATAGCTTTGGAATTTAAAGCAATTGCAGATGCTTTTCTCTCCAGTGGACTTCCCTACGTTTATATTGCTCCTGCCAGCAAAACTAGGCCTGATCAGCACTGAAGAACTTGGGTGGGTCGGTAATGTCGATACAAATGTAGTTAAAAAGCCTTCTTATGTGCTGCAAGTTGTTTAATGTTCTTATTATTTCTCTTGAGTCATTAGTATAGAAACTGTGGGGATAGTGGTGTGATTTGTAGTTTATGAAAGTTTAGTTAACTTCATAAGAACATGGAATTTTAAAACTGAAAGGAACACTCAAGAATGAAAATAGTGCTTTGTGCATGAGTGAGAAACTGAAAGGCTCAGAAAAGTGAAATGAATTGTTCACGATCATCCCTCTTATTAATTATATGCTGGATCTCAAGTGTGACCCCTCATCCTAGTACTCTTTCTACTATACTACATAAGCTTCAGAATACTGTATTTGTTTGAGTTTCTCTAAATAAAAGATTGATAAGTTCTATTCACAGGAGTCCTTTCCAAATGTGAATTAATTTCCTCTCTCTCTTTTGTCAGGCGCTATAGTAGCCCCTGGTAAGACCCGAGGAGGGTCACCATACAACCAGTTTGATATCATCCCAGGTGACACACTGGGTGGCCATACGGGTCCTGCTGGTGATAGCTGGTTACCTGCCAAATCTCCACCAACCAATAAAATCGGAAGTAAATCCAGCAATGCCAGTTGGCCTCCAGGTATTGTCCAGGAATTCTGAACAAATTGTTTTTGCCACCCACTTTACTAAGGCATCTACTTTCATTTGCTTCATTTAGTAATTATTGCCTGATAAAGCAAAGTATGTGATATGCTGTGGGAAGATAGAAAATTTTCATTAGATACGGTCTCTGCTCTGTAGCGTTCAGTCAGGAAAATAAGGTGTTGACACTGATCGCCTACAAGGTAAGCTACTGAGTGGTAAATACTTTGTGGACTTAGATGCACTGAAGGAAGTCAGGGGAGGGGAATCCGGAGATAAAAGAAGGTGACTTGGAGCCGGGGCTTGGCATGCATTTGTCATAGGATGCTTTGTAACCTGGATTCTTCTGAAATAGCCATTGAATTGATTTATTTTTTAAGCACGTATTTATTGTCAGGTTCACAGCAGTGAGTGAATGAGAATATATGTTGCTTCTCTCTCTCTCTCTCTCTCTCTCTCTCTCTCTCTCTCTCTCTCTCTCTGATGCAAATAACCTATTCATTGTAGAAAAAAATTTTAATGTAGTAAAGCACAAATAAAAAGAACATTTGGTATATGTCCTTCTAAACCTCTCTATATAGTTATATTTGTGATATGAGTATGCTGAGTTTCAGTTTATTAAAGTAGGCTTGTATAATGCCTGTTGCTCATTTATAATGCATATTGCTTTCCTTCATCGTGATTAGAAAAATAAAAGTTTATTAACACATCACATAACTTTAAGTATGATTGAAATTAACCAATGAAAATTGTAAGCACTATTTATAAATATTCCAGGCTTTTTCATGATAAGCCTGATTATTCCTGCCAGTTGTCCCTGCACATTTCGTGTAGTAGTGGTCATTTGTATTGTATTTCCTTCTGTGCATCTGAGCCAATTTGCAGTGAGATAAATGGGAGAAGCCACTGATTCCCAACCTAGATATTCTCTCAGTTCTTGTCCTAGATGCCTGAATAGTTCTCATGAGCACTAGGCCTTAATCCTGCCTCTCTCCCCAAGCCTGAACTTTCCTGGGAGCAGGAGCAGGAAGAGCAGGGAGCAGGACTAGGCACTGATGAGCTCTGGCATTAAGTTCACAGCCATAGAGAGACAGAGGCTGACGTGTTGTGATAACACCAAGGTTGCTGCCAGAGTATATTTTCAGGATGACATTTTTAAAAATTCTGTGATGAAAATCTGAAATAAAATACAGATCTATTTCTTATATCAAAAAATAACTTTATTGTACCATTTTTTGAACAACCTTCTACCTCTTGCCTGGCGGCGTGGCTCAGTGGTTGAGCATTGCCCCATGAACCAGGAGGTCACTGTTCGATTCCTGGTCAGGGCACATGCCTGGATTGTGGGCTTAATCCCCAGTGGGGGGCGTGCAGGAGGTAACTGATCAATGATACTCTCTTATTAATGTTTCTATCTTTCTCTTTCTGAAATTAATAAAAATATATTTAAAAACAAAAACCTCTAATACTTGTTCTTCTTCTCTCAGAATTCCAACCAGGAGTGCCATGGAAAGGTATCCAAAACATTGACCCTGAATCTGATCCCTATGTCACCCCAGGAAGTGTGCTGGGAGGTACAGCCACATCTCCCATTGTAGATACTGACCACCAACTTCTGCGGGATAACACCACAGGTAAATAAGTCAAGCATCCCTTGTGTTGATGATTCAACACCCAATATTTTCAGATGTGTCAATCTGTGGCTTCATTTATACTTGCTACTATCTAATAACCAGAAAACATAAGAACATAAAGCTTTTCCAAGTTTCATTTGTTATACTGACATTTATCTGCAATATTTTTATCTTATTTTTCATCTGTCACTCAAAGGGTCTAATTCTTCCCTCAACACCTCGCTGCCTTCACCTGGTGCCTGGCCCTACAGTGCCTCTGACAACTCCTTTACCAACGTTCATAGCACTTCAGGTATGAGTGTGACCTGTTTGTTTCCTTTTACACAGGAAATTGGCATGTATTTCTTAACGAATACTTTTATAGTAGTTGAATAGCAGCAATATGTCAGCATAGATGGAGGCACAACTCTTGTATTGACCATGTTCTGGAGGACCTTCCAGTGTCAGAGGGGCAGGATGAGATGTACAGCTTTAGGACAAAGCAAACGGTGACATAATCACAGAGAGCTGTCAGTGTGAAAGAGGTCAGAGGTTATATCCTGATGGCACGAGTGCTTTTCTTTTAACCAATCTCCTAAGAGAATCACGGGCCATGGGAAGAACTAGGTAAGGCCAGGTTTTATTCCTAAAGCAGCCAATTGTAGCTGGCTTTTCTCTAAAAATCCTTTCACTTTCAGACAAAGTCTATGGGCAGCCCAGGCTGGGTAGCTCAGTTGGTTAGAGCATTGTCCCGATACGCCAAGGTTGCAGGTTTGATCCCCAGTCAGGGCACATACAAGTATCAACCAATGAATGCATAAATAAGTAGGACAACAAATCTCTCTCTCTTTCTCTCTCCCCCCCCTCCTCTCCCCCCCCCCTTTCCTTTCTCTCTCTAAAATAAATAAATGAATAAATTTTTAAAGGCTAAGGACAGATGGCTAAGGGAAAACAAGAGGACCTTGATTAATTCTACCAACACCTTTGCTGAGTTCCTTTTTTGTTTTTGGGGAATACTAGGGAATGGAAAAGTTAATGGCTATATAATGGATATAATAGAGCCTTTGAAGGCACTCAACACAGTGCCTTACGGATTGGGAGAGAAATCGTGAGTAATTGGCACTTTGGTCTTGGAAAAGTTAGACCTTAAGCCATTCAACTCATTAAGGCTTCTGTTCTTTGTCTAGGCAAAAGTAAATAAAACAAATCCTTAACTACCTACTAAGACTCTGCAGGTTAATGACCTTACAAATTATTTTCTATTTTTCCTTTTTACCTCTGTCATTATCAACAGTGCAACAATGACCTATCGTTTTATTGAGTGCTCCTGTAAACCAGGCAGCATGCTAAGCCTTCAGCATGAATTCCTTTAAAAAAAAAAAAAAGCAGTGACTTATTTCTTTCTAATGACTCAGTGGGTTTGAAGTCTGGGCAGGGCCCTAGTTGGCCAGTTTTTCTGCTGCGATTACGGTCAGCTGGGGTGTCCCATGAAATTGCAGTTGATGGCAGCGGAGCTGAGCTGGAATGTTTCCCTCAGATGTCAGCTGTCCAACTCCCCAGTGTGCCTTCTCTCACTGCATGTGCTGCCTCATCACAGTATTTTATCTCAAGCTTCTTTTTTTAATTGAATTTATTAGGGTGACATGTTCGCAAAACCATATAGGTTTTAAGTGTACAATTCAAGAAAACATTATCTGCATGCTGCATCATGTGCTTATCGCCCCAAGTAAAGTCTCTTTCGTCCCCATTTTACCCCCTTGCCCACCTCCACCTACCCCCCAGCTATCACTACACTGTTGTTAGCATAAATTCTATTTTTTTCTTTTTAGGATCCTTTTTTATTGATTTTTTAAAAATATATATTTTTTAATGATTTCAGAGAGGAAGCGAGAGGGGAGATAGAGAAACATCAATGATGAGAGAGAATCATTGATTGGCTGCCTCCTGCATGCCCCCTACTGGAGATCGAGCCTGCAACCTGGGCATGTGCCCTTGACTGGAATCGAATCTGGGACCCTTTAGTCTGCAGGCCGACGCTCTATCCATTGAACCAAACCAGCAAGCAGTGGTTCTCAACCTGTGGGTCGCGACCCCTTTGGAGTCGAACGACCCTTTCACGGGGGTCACCTAAATACATCCTGAATATCAGATATTTACATTATGATTCATAACAGTAGCAAAATTACAGTTATGAAGTAGCAACGAAAATAATTGTATGGTTGGCGGTCACCACAATATGAGAAACTGTATTAAAGGGTCACGGCATTAGGAAGGTTGAGAACCACTGAGCTAGGGCTTTTTTCTCTCTTTTTTTTTTTTTTTTTTTTTTTTGTATATAAGAGGAAGGGAAAGGGGGAGGGAAAGAAACATTGATGTAATACAAAACATTGATCAGCTGCCTCCTGCATGCCCGCCCCCTACTGGGGATCAAACCTGCAACCTTTCAGTACACAGGACCACACCCAACCAACCAACTGAACCACACCAGCCAGGGCTCAGCATGAATTTTTATCTTACTTTCACTAGAAGTAAGGAGGTTCTGGTGCTATCCCCATTTTATAGATGAAGAAACTGAGGTTCAAAGAGATAATGTAATTTGCCTCAGGTCTGAGTGAGTGTATAAAGGAGCCAACTCAGTATTTCATGTTTTAACTACTACCCTACATTATACTTTTGTAGGACTTCTCCCTTACATGTAAAAACTCATTTTCACTTAACTCTTTTATTCCTATAACTGACCATATCTCAGGTTTTGTTTTTTGTTTTTTGTGTTTTTTTTATTGATTTTTTACAGAGAGGAAGGGAGAGAGATAGAGAGTTAGAAACATCGATGAGAGAGAAACATCGATCAGCTGCCTCCTGCACATCTCCCACTGGGGATGTGCCCGCAACCCAGGTACATGCCCTTGACCGGAATCGAACCTGGGACCTTTCAGTCCGCAGGCCGACGCTCTATCCACTGAGCCAAACCGGTTTCGGCTCTCAGGTTTATCTGATTTATCTTTTGTCTATAATTGGGCATTCACCTGAGAGATGGCCCAATAATTAGCCTAGATATGTCTCCCCACCCAAGGCTCAATCCCACCTCCAAAATTATCTTTCCTTTTTAACTAAACTCTATTTTTCTTAGTGATGCTCCCATGTATCACTAAGTCACAATATGTCAGTATTGTTTTGCTCTTTCATTTCTCCCTTGTTCCCTGGATCCAGGCAGTGATGATGTCCCCAAGTGGTTTAGTCTACCGTCGTACCTCTCCTATCCATGTCTCTGTTCCATTCTGTGTGCTGTCACCCAGGTTTTAGATCCTACTTTAAACACTACATACTGAATCTACTGCAAAATCTCCTCCTGATAGCTCAATCAGTCCCCAGCCTGCCTTCACAGCCTCCTTTACCTCTCTGCCTTACACTGTGGAAAATTGCAGTGAGTGTAAGGCAGAGAGGAATGTTGTTCAGCCAGAATTGGGGGAAAGCATATTTGGTACAGGATGGGTGTAAATTGAACCTTGGTTTATATTTTTCAGTCTCTCTGAGCCCATCTATTTATGTAAATCCTTCAAGACCTGTCTTTGCAAAGCCTTTGCTGACAGTCCAGTCTTGTCTTTCTTCTCTGTGTATTGAGCATATATGATGTTGCCTGGGGTTACCAATTTTGTTGTTCACCTGTTTTGTCTTCCCATCTGACCTTTGAAGTTCTTGAGAATAACTGTTTATATTACCCACACACTGATTTAGCGTCGTAAAGCATAGTAAGCCCTTAGAGAATATTTGTTGATTGTATTTTTTAAAACCTGTTTGAATGTTGATATCAATATTCTGGATATCAAGAAAAATGTAATTTTCTAATGTAATTTCCATTAAGTCAATAAGTATTTGTAGAATGTTTTAGTTCTGCTAGGTTTCATATTCTATATCTAGAAGTCTGATGGGTTCAGGAATACTGTCCTTGAATTTATCTTCCCTTTCGGGCTGTGTTTAGTTAAGAAAGCTGTAGGGAATTAGATAACTTATTAAAGCTTTACTCCATTTGTTAATTTGTCAATTCAGAGTGATAGTCATTGAAAATTTTATATTCATAAGCTCAAAAACTATTATTTTGTATTGCTGCTTTTTAAATGTGCACTTATGCCCTAACTGGTTTGGCTCAGTGGATAGAGCGTCGGCCTGCGGACTGAAGGGTCCCAGGTTCGATTCCGGTCAAGGGCGTGTACCTTGGTTTCAGGCACATCCCCAGTAGGGGGTGTGCAGGAGGCAGCTGATTGATGTTTCTCACTCATTGATGTTTCTAATTCTCTATTTCTCTCCCTTCCTCTCTGTAGAAAATCAATAAAATACATTTTAAAAAATAAGAAATAAAATGAAAATAAATGTGCACTTACTGTTTTTAGAATTTAAATATGTGTGTAGGTGTGCACAAAAGTTACGTGTACTGGGTGACAAAAGTAACCTTACTCCTTCCTCAATTTTCTTACAGCAAAGTTCCCTGATTACAAATCAACATGGTCCCCAGATCCCATAGGACACAACCCCACTCATCTCTCCAACAAGATGTGGAAAAACCATATTTCCTCAAGGAACACTACACCGCTGCCCCGCCCACCGCCTGGTCTGACCAACCCCAAACCATCATCTCCCTGGAGCAGCACAGCACCACGATCAGTCAGGGGGTGGGGGACACAGGACTCACGGCTTGCCTCGGGTGAGAAGGATCTGCATAAAGGAGCATCCTTGTTCAAACACAAAGGTCTCATGTTAACACAAATGGTGAAGATGTGAAGTCTTCACAAGAGAGGAAATGCAGGTTGGCTGGTAGAGGCGAAAGTGTCTCTTGAGTGGAAAATTGCAGTCAGTGTAAGGCAAAGGGACCCAAGAACTCCCAAGGTGCTGATGGAGTAAAGATGACGGATGGCAGAGTGAGAGCACTAGGAGGAAAATGTCTTGAAGAGAAGGCATAAGAATGCATAGGGATCCAGGTCTCGGAGAAGAGAGCTGGCTATTCAGTGCAAGATAAAGGTCAGAGTGAGGTGGAAAAGAGACACTGATTTATACGAGAGAAGCAGCATGTGAAAGGGCTATATGAAAATGTTTATCGCTCGTGCCTTTTTACATTTCTTGATGTTTTTTTCTGATCTTATTTTCTGATTACTTATAGCCTCTACCTGGAGTGATGGTGGTTCAGTTCGTCCTAGTTACTGGCTGGTTCTTCATAATCTCACTCCACAGGTAATCATGCTTTCTTGTGATTTTCTAGATAGAACTTAATTGTGTTAAGTGAGAGAACCTCAGAGATGTGGGCAGATACAAAAACTAATTTATTTCCTGTCACTGCAGAGAGGTCTAGCCTGCAAGGGTGTGTCTCCGCACCCAAGGCTCAAAGCCTACTGCTGAATGGGGGATGTTGACCACTCAGCTTCACGCCTGCCTTCATGGTGATGTTAACACGTGTAGTTTATAAAATGGTGACAGCGGGCATTATTACCTGGTGAATTCTGTTTAGCAGAGATAACTTGCTGTATAGATTTGCCTGACAGAATCTAGAACTAAGTGCGAGATAGCTATTTAAGTGTTTTAACCACATGCAAAAACTTACCTGTTTTTGCTTTAGTTACTGAAGACTTGAGACTTGATATTAACTGTTTTTCTGCTTCATAAATAATTAACCATCTATCTCTGCAGAAGGAATGTGTCTATTTCATGAGGCTTAAATGCCTCCTGGGTACTTCTGATTTTCTCTCTGTTACCCTCTTCAGTGTAGATGGCAGTATTCCTTCCCATCATCAGAACATGCCCTCTGGGTTGTTTGTAGTGTGGTGGGACTTCATTTGTCCCAGAGCACCCTCCCTTCACATTGGTTGCTTTGATGACTGACATATTTGCAGCAGCATTATGTTAATAAGCATTCAAATGAGGTTAAATGAACCCATCAAAACGAGCCCATACCCTTCATTTGGACTTGCCAGCATAACCTTTACAGCATCTTGTTAAAAGAGATCAATTAGCCCAAGACGGTTTGGCTCAGTAGATAGAGTGTCAGCCTGCAGACTGAAGGGTCCCAGGTTAGATTCCGATCAAGGGCACATGCCTGGGTTTCGGGCTCGATTCCCCAGAAGGGGGCGTGCAGGAGGCAGCCAATCAATGATTCTCTCTCATCATTGATGTTTCTATCTCTCTCTCCTTCTCCCTTCCTCTCTGAAAAAAAAGAAAGAAAAAAAAAGATTTATTTTTAAAAAAGGGGAGATCAATTAGGTGCCTGGCTGGTAAGGCTCAGTGGTTGAGCATCGACCTATGTCACGGTTCGATTCCCAGTCAGGGCACATGCCCGGGTTGCGGGTTCAATCCCCAGTGTGGGGTGTGCAGGAGGCAGCCGATCGATGATTTTCTCATCATTAATGTTTCTGTCTCTCTCTGCCTCTCCCTTCCTCTCTAAAATCAATAAAAAAATAATTTTAGCTGAAACCGGTTTGGCTCAGTGGATAGAGAGTCGGCCTGCAGACTGAGGGGTCCCAGGTTCGATTCCGGTCAAGGGCATGTACCTGGGTTGCGGGCATATCCCCAGTGGGAGATGTGCAGGAGGCAGCTGATTGATGTTTCTCTCTCGTCGATGTTTCTAACTCTCTATCTCTCTCCCTTCCTCTCTGTAAAAAATCAATAAAATATATTTTAAAAAATAAATAAATAAATAAAAAATAATTTTAAAAAGGAGAGATCAAATTAGGCCTCCCTGCCTTCCAACACATAGAATGATTTGTCCAACATTGAATTCATAAATGAATTTGTGTACACTTTGCTAAGCTAGCACTTCCAGAGTGGTTCCCATGGGATATTAGTAGGTGTCTGGCCTAATATGTTGGGAATGTATACTTGATTAAACAAAATTAAGCAGGTTTCTTCACTATGAGACTTTAGTTCCTTTAATATGCTAACATATGTTATGATCCACTGTGGGGAAATAGAGCTTCTCCTAAATTGTTTTGCCAGCAAACTTATCTAAGGTTAGATAGGTCACTTTTGTCACCAAATACACATAAATTTGCGTGTAAACCCAGGGCTTGTATTTCATGGTACATGCTGAGAAAGGCAGTTTCCTAAATACAATTGACATGAGGAAGAGTCTGGATTGGCTCTTAATCCCTGTATCTAATAACTCAGCTAAAAGCCCCAGGTTATTTAGCTAATAGTTGACTAAAGCATGAAGATTTTTTATAACCATCCTCAAAACTATATCTGCCTCATTATTTCTAAGTAGTCACACAGTGTGGTGGGTGTAGTGTGGTTAGGATGAGAGAAGGGATACACTGTATTGAAATGAGACTGGGCAAGCCAACCAGCTGTTCACTCCCATTTTATTTCAGTTTTCACTCCCGTTTTATAATATGAAAAATAGTATGTATATATGTGTGTAAAAGGAATATAGGGATTGGCTGTGTTTGTATTAGAAAGAATTCAATAATTTTAAAAATCAACACTTGCTGGTTAGCAGACTAATCTGGGTTATAGTTTAAAAGAAGGTTATAAGGTCAAATCTGTGGTTCCTGGATAAATTTACTTTTTTTTACCTAACATATTTTTGGAAGACATCTATCCTGAAAAGTCACTAGTGGCATATGCTGATATGCTTCTGTAGTCAGTTGTCACTTTAAAAACAATGCTAAGAGCTGTTTCTCCAATCATCTATAATAATAAAAGCGTAATATGCTAATTAGACCAGATTGCCGGACGTCCTCCTGGATGACCTTCCTGACGAAGCTGGGGCTGCGAGGGCTGAGGCAAGCCACTGCAGCTGCGAGGGCCAAGCTCCTTGTACAAATGTCATGCATAGGGCCTCAAGTCTATATATATATAATCTATATATATATATAAGGCTAATATGCTAAGTGTCCAACTAGTCCCTATGACATGCACTGACCACCAGGGGGCAGATGCTTCACACAGGAGCTTCCCTGACGCACATTGGCCATTTACAAAGAAATGGCACAGCGGACCTGGCACCCACAAAGCAACACTCGGCTTCCCCCAAGTGGGACACAGGCCCCACCACCACCCAGGAGTGACAACCCACCAAGTCACAGCTGACACTGCCGAGACCCAGTGGCGCAAAATGCAGACCATAGCCCAGCCCAGCCTGGAAACGGTTGCTGTGGGTGCCAGGTAATGACGTTACATAGCAACGCCCAGCTTCTTCTCCCTCACAGTTAGCCACCTTGGAGTTTCTTCAGTCCAGGAACATGACTTGCTTTATAGCCAGGTGCAAACATTTTACACTTTAACCAAATGTCTGTGAAGCATTTTCCCGTGCCTCATCTCATTTGATCCTCACAGAAGTCCTGGAGTAGGTAGATAGGAGGCTCGGTGGAATCCTATTTTCTTTTCATTAGCCAGTGGAGATTTAGAAAGTAACCCAACTGAAAAGAAGTAAGAAATGGTGGACCTTGAAAATGACTTCAGGTTTTCTCACTGCTCAGAATATAGTCAAACACTGCTACAGTTAAATATTTCACCCTTTGTTCTCCCTGCGTGATCTACAATAATAATCTCTTTCACATTGATATTTACTGCTGTGTTGCTCACAATTACCTGAAAGAGAAGTTGGGGTGCTTCACTGGGCTGGAAAAAGTTTAGCTAAATCAGAAAGCAGGTCTAATTAAGGAAGTTTATATATATAAAGCTCTCACTATGTCCAATCGCATGCGTATGTTTCCATCTGTCATTGTCGATCGTGAATTTAGTTGACACTTCTATTATAGAGAAAGGGCAAATAGGGATATTAAAATATTTCTTCTGATTAAGTTCCTTTCAATGTGCATGAATTTGCGCACTGGGCCACTAGTTTTCTATAAAGAACTGTGGGGAAACTGCCAGTTTCATCCTACAGGGTTTCCATAGTAAAACCACAGAATGTTTCCCACTGCTGCCACCAGTAGTGCAACTTTTGAAGGCTTTTCCAATAGTAATCTGTTTCACTTCCAAGGAAATGAACTGAAATGTTGGACTGAGCAGCTTAAATAAACATAGTTGAGATCTCGATACAAATAAATTAATCAGAGTGAATAAATAGATCTATTCATTTGAGTCATAGGTGAGGGCAATTATCTCCAATCACTGAACATCTTAGTGGTAAGATCCTGGCTAAGGTGAGCAACTACAACCTGTGGTCCCATTGGCAGTGGGCAGCAGAGGACAGAGCAGTAGGTAGAAATAGTTTCACCTTGAGATGGCCAAAGTAGGGGTAAGAGGACATTAGAATAGTCTGAGCTGGGGCGGCTGTCAGTACTTTAAATCATTAGATGGTTAGCAGTGCTTTTTTTGTTAGTGGCTTTATCTCTAGCTCTTCGTGAGGTTGTTAACTGGGAAGGTGGAAGAATACTACATTAGTAATGATGCTGAGAATTTTGTGTTTTCCTAAACTCTTCTTTGGGTAGCATCTTATTTATGCTTTTTAAAGCTTTACAAATTAGCACATGTTCACATCCTAAAGAATATAGACCACAGGTTGAATCATATGCTTTTGTTTTGAGCTGCACTTGTACAAATTTTTTAATTTGCAAAATGGGCACATTAGATCTTTGCCCAGTGTTTTGCATATCTTAAAATGTTTAAGACCTTTGTATTCGATGCACTCTTTTATTTTGAGTTCTTCATTCTTATTTAGTACTAATACTCTTTATGAGCCAGAAGCCCTTCTCATTCTTATGTATAAGAAAGGTCACTTGACTTCCTTTCACACCCACCTTCAGTTTTTATCTCACAAATGTCTTACTCCTTAGATTGATGGGTCAACCTTGAGAACCATCTGCATGCAGCATGGCCCACTGCTGACATTCCATCTGAACCTAACCCAGGGCACCGCCCTGATCCGATACAGCACCAAACAGGAGGCGGCCAAGGCCCAAACTGCACTGCACATGTGAGTACCCATCCTATATGCTCCCAGAGACCAACACGCAGGAAGATGCACACATTAATATTCTGGCACCTGCTTAATTAAACAAAGATGCTCGAGAACACGCTCAAAACGACACCATTGCCTAGCAATTGTTTCGTACTGAGGTGGCTGTTCTTTACCTGCCTAAGTGTGGATTGTCCTGTGTACATCATAGGACGATCATGATAATTCCATAAGTGAAAAATAAGTGAAGTAGTAAATAAATTTTAAGTACCATAAAACAAAGATCAATAGCTATAAAAATATGAACCATGATTACTGTTTCTTTTTATAATCCTATCTAACTGCTTACTTTGGCTTCTTTGTGGGTGATGGAATATTGTGGTCTTGGTGAATAGCAGGGGTTTTGCATCAAGTAGGTGGGACTGGATCAGACTTTGAGCATCCCCCTCCCTGCCACTCTCAAACTGGTAGACAAGAAAGAGCTGGCTCCCTGTGGCTGCATATGCTACAACCAGCAGCTATACACTGAACAAGCAAGTCATGGTGAGGCTCCTGCAGTGAGCCTGCCGCTGAGATGGAGCAGCATTTCCAAGTGTATGGAGCTGGGTCACCCTGATGCTTGCTTGGTGTGTGATCTTTTACCTCCCATGGGGGTGGGGGAGAGGTGACATTATTCTTGACATATAAATTTCACACATCAAAGGATATCGATATAGAGTATCTTCCAGTAGTCTGGATATCTTGAGACTTTGTGATATTTTATTGCTTTAAATCAGTACCTGGTGGCCTGGTAAAAATGCAGTTTCTGACACTGATTCTGCATGTTAAAAAGCATCCAGGAGATGTAGACGCTTCTAGTCAAAGGACTGCACTTTAAATAACAAGGACTCAAAATGCTCAGTCCCTGTGCTTTAGAATTTTCCTCAAACCCATAGTTCTTCTCTTCCTTTTTCTGCAGGTGTGTGTTGGGAAACACTACCATCCTGGCTGAGTTTGCCACCGATGATGAAGTTAGCCGCTTTCTGGCACAAGCTCAGCCCCCTACACCTGCAGCAACCCCAAGCGCACCCGCAGCAGGTTGGCAGTCGCTGGAGACCAGCCAGACCCAGTCAGATCCCGTTGGACCTGCTCTGAATCTTTTCGGTGGGTCCACAGGGCTCGGGCAGTGGAGCAGCAGTGCTGGCGGCAGCAGTGGGGCCGATCTTGCTGGCGCTTCGTTGTGGGGGCCCCCAAACTATTCTTCTAGCTTGTGGGGAGTCCCAACTGTGGAAGATCCCCATAGGATGGGCAGCCCTGCTCCTTTACTACCTGGTGACCTTCTGGGAGGAGGGTCGGATTCAATCTGAACTTTGAACTTTCAACTCTGACCTCGTGACCTTTTTTGGAACAGCAGCAGCACTAACTTGACCTTTTCGTTTTTTTTTTCAACTTGCAATAAATACATTTTTAAAAGGAAAAAAGAAAACGGAGAGAGAAAAAAAAGGTGGGTCATTGACAGACTGTCTGAGCACATAGTTGCCTCCCTTATAACTTCAGTTTTTTCGTTTGGAATATGAATCCAAAAAGAGAACATATCACTCTTGAAATACTTGAATCATGAACGCCAACCTAGAAAGACAATGTGAAGCAAGTACACATACCATTTAAATTTAAACACAAAAAAATTAAAAAAATTAGTTTCTAGTTTTTCACTTTTTTCATGTTATATGGAAGTTGTTGCTAAGAAACATATATACTGAAAAATAGCTTTTTAACTTTGTTTGCACTGGGTGTGTTTCCGTCCTTAGGTCTACCATGTTTGGGAGGGAGGGGAATTCAAAAGAATTGTTGGGGTGGGGGGAGGGAAGACTTGACGGAGCCTCACTTTAAAAACAAAAACAAAAAACCTAAAAAAAAAAAAAAAAAGGAAAAATTTGTGATTGGCTGGTTGATAAATACCAGTGTGTTCTGGCACATGTAACTGCCCAGGCATGCTCGTTCTGGTATGTGTGTGCACGTGTGTTCATGTACATTCGCGTGCATCCTTCTCTCTGTCTCTGTGTGTGTGTGTGTGTGTGTGTGTGCCTGTGTCCTCTTCTGCCTCCTCCTTCCTGACCCTGATTTCTCAGAAAGCTGCGTTGCTGACAGTCCGTAGGCTGGCTGGCCGGCCATCTGCTTTTTACTTTTATTATTATTATTTTTTAACTATGAGAACACACAAGCACGGAGAGCCACTGCTACTAAAGCAACTCCTTTGGGCTGCATTAAAATGAACAGAGTGCTTTTTAATGATGAAAGCAGAGAGCTCCTTTACATCTGCAAATTAGCCTGAGTGTGAGTTTTCTCTAGCTTTTCTTTTGACCTAGCAGTAAAGCGGAGCACTGCCAAGTCCAAAAAATTAGGCGAGCAGGAGGTACCTCTGGGAGCAGCTGTGTGTTTATTTATTTCTGTTTTTTAAAACAAGTGGCCACTGGGCACATCTGAATCTCTGTTAAGTTTTACGCAGGCCTTTACGTGACTTTGAATGGGAACAGACGATAAGTTAGTTTTTAATTATGTGATGTCTGGAAAGCAGAAAAACTGTGTTCCCCTCCTTTCTTGTGTAATCAGGTATGAGAATTTCATCAGAAAGGTAATGCTGAATTCAACATTTCTATTCTCTTTTTCATTTTATGGAAACAGAAAAAAGTAAGTTGTGAGCAGCCTCCTGAAAGCATCCGCAGCTCCTCCCTCTCTGCTCCTTTCTTGCTGAGCGTTACCTGTGCCAGGCCGTGGCGTGTTACAGCACCAGGCCATCACTGACAGAAACGTTTACTTAACGAATGTTCTTAAACCAGTGTGTACTTCAAGCGTTTCCTTTTGTTTCTCTGTGTTGTGTATTTCCTGTGTATGTGGTTTTGCTTAGGCAGGTATAACTTAGCAAAGACTTTTAAGTATTGCACCTTTTTTTTGGTTTTGACCTCTTTTTTTTCCTTATAATGTTGCTTTTTTATTTTGGTATTTAAAGACTTCTTTTTTTAAGCATCCATGTAGTAGTACTCTGGGCCGAATAGGAGGCATCTTTTAATCCACAGTTATCACCAACATGTATGTACTTATGTTGGAATCAAAATGTATCAAACTGCTTTTTGTGAAGTTATAGCAGCCCTGAGGGGGTACCCCTTTATACAAAGCAGGTGGCGGGTGGGGTGGGGGGAGGGGAGTCGTATGCCGGTAATGTGCTAGCACTTGTGTGGACATCCCAATCTGCATTATACTGTTTAACATAAAGTGCCGACATTCTGTACCAGCAAATACCTGCCCATTCCAACCCTTGGTGGGAGCAGACCTCTACTGTCCTCCATAACTTGCTGCTAGTGAGGACAAAGGAGTTTTTCTTTCTTTAGCATCTTCAGTGAAGGATATAACAATGCCTAATGTATTTGACTTTTAGCTTGTGTATTTGTGTAGGTGGGTGGGTGGGTATGTATAGGAAAAGGCAGAAACTCATTCAAGTGGTTTTGTGAGACAATGGGAATTCTGTAGTCCTCTCGGCTTACCCTGTTGGTTATAAACCTAGCCTCTAAAGAGATTGACATGCATAATTCAAGTGAGCATTCGCTCATACAGGTCTTTATGCACCCTTCGTGGGTAGGTGGTCAAACTTGAGTTGCCAGCGTTGGTTTGGTCCCATTGGATGCCTTGTAGAAACTAACCGTGCCCTCCTCCTGCTCTCGGTTTTCATCACCACCATGCCCCTTCCACCTCTGCCCACGTACACAGTGTCTCCTCCCAGCCCCACTGACTGCTCTGTGTGAGGAGCAAAACCCTGCCAGGTGGCGAGCTCCCGGTGAAGAGCAGCTGTGCTCAGACATCTCCAGAAGGCTAACTCTCAGCGGCCCTAGGCCCCCTAGGCAAGGAGCGTGTCCAGGCTCCGGAGAGCCAGTGGCAGAACTGGCTCTCCTGCCGTTCTGGTTTCCTGCCGTGTCCTGCCCCACCCTCCACCCTTCCAGCCTGTTGGTTCCTTGACCTGCACTATGGGTTAGTTGAGTTCCTTACGATACTACGGTGAAAGCCGGGTGCTAGAGCCCCTCTTGTTTACAAGACATACTGAGGGATTTGAAATATGTAAAATTAGCATGAGAAGCTAAAATGTTCTTCCATCATAAGCTTAAAGGGAAAAAATTTAAAACTTTTAAAAAAGACCAAAAAGTGCGTATATATATATATACATATATATATATATACATATAAATATATATTTTAGATGAAGACTAACTCTGGGAGCATTTAACAGTGTTTTTTTGTTTTCGTTTTTAACATTTATTTTCCTGCTTTAAAATTTGCAAGCATTCTCAGGAATTCTAGGGTAGGAAGCCAGTTTTTTGAAGATGGGTTTATTTAACCGTATCTTATCCTAGATAGACAGCTGTTTCTTTCCTGTTAATAAACTTTTACAAGTTCCTGAAACTTCAAAAAGTTTAAAAAATTTTTACGTAAAAAAATGTAAAAAGAAAAGTCTCCAAACGTTATTGTCATACTGGGGAATCATACCTTTTAAAACATGTAGAAATAAATATTTTTTAAAATGATCAATTTAGCAGCAACAGGTAAATTCATTATCTTTAAAAATATGGGAGAAGGATTGAGCTTTATAAGGGCTCTATCACGGACTTATTTGATATTGTGTGTAATTTAATGGGAGAGTGTTTGGTATATATAAATGGAAATTCCATCACTTTGTTCCTTTCCATTTAAGACTGAACTGGAATCTCCCCTACTAATTTTTATTTTTGTTAAAGGAACCCTTCTCCCTTCCCCCAGCCCTACCAAGAAAAGAAAGGAAGAAAGAAAAAAAACAACAACAGCTTAAATAAAAGTAACTCTAATCTGTAAAATAGTACCGTTGGATTGCTGAGAATCTATGTAAAGAGTTAGGAAATATAGGTTAATAACTTTTGGAACAAATTTTAAATATAGGCATTACTAGAGGAAAAATATCTATGGACTGTTCTATTAATGAAGAATGTCTGTCTTACCTCCATTTGTTATGGCAGGAGGAGAAAATAATAGAATCTAATAAGGAACAAGTGATTTTACATTTTTTTTGCTCCCAGCCACTGTTGTGCTCATTTTAAATGCTGTTTTAAAGATCTGCTGCTTAACTATCCCCGTCCCTCAGCCGAAGATGTGGAGTGTTTCCTTTCAGTTTTGGGTGAAGTTGAATTCTCCTTTTGTATTCCCTCCTGGGGCCCGGGGTCGGAATTCCCAAGCATGACCACAGCTTCTTTTAAACATCTAAGCTTCCCAGTGGGAAAGGAACTCCCACTCGACAGGTACAGGGAGTGGGTGGGGTTGCTGCCTGCAATTTCTCTAAAACCACGTTAGTGCCTTCGTACATACACCCAGGCATCCTAAGCAGGGGAACCCGTGTGTATGTGCTTGTGGTCCAGACACTCCACGGACGTTAAGACGCTTGCCCGATAAGGACATTGGAGTGGTTCTGGACAGGCCCCAAAGGCAATGGGCTAAATTTAAAGTAAATAAATAAACAGAAATCAAGGAAGTTAAATATGCTTTATGTCTGGAAAATGTGGAATGCCAAGGTCCTTCCTTGTGTTGATGCCCTCGGTTACTGGGCATTGGCTTCTCCAGGTGTGTCAGTGTGACAGCGAGAATGATTTGGGAAGTCTCTGTGTCAGGCCAGTAGAAAGGGGTTCGTATTGTTCTATTCTTGTCCTTCCTCTCCTCCCTTTCTCTGCCCTTTTTATTTCTTTTCCTTTTTTTTTTTTTATCCACTTGCTGGAAGCTTTGCTTTTTATTGGTTGGCAGTGTCTTAAGAACAGGATATAGTGAGATGTAATGGAAGAGGAAGACTCTGCTTTCCATGGTATTCTTTGGCAAGAGCCATGTCTGCTGAGAGAATATGTGGCTTCAAAACACTTTAGAAAATTCAGTGGGAGTGTCTTCTCCTCCACTACATTCTGGCATGTGTGCAGAGGCTCGCTAGTCACCTCTCATTACATCAATTTGCTTTATAAACATTGTGATCATGTAAATTTGAGCTTTCCAATTTTTTACTAGTTGCCCTTTATTTCTTTAAACGCTTATTACTAGTGGCTAGAGGTGTCCATCTCTCAAACATCACAAACTTGGTTTCTGTCTACCGTATGAGTAGCCAAAACGAAAGAAGCACTAGTAGGGAAAGGGATGTCTTCATCCGACTGGGGACCTCTGCTGGCAATTAAGATCCAGTGCCATTATCTAATTTTAGGTGGTGTTGTTTTTTAAAAAAAATAGCAAAGTTCTTATCTCCAAGACACTGTGAAAAAGTGGATGTGGCATCTCTGATCCCTCAGGCCCTAGCCCTTGGTATTTTTCATTTACGACAGTCACAGGAGTTAACCAGCAGTGCCGCAGTTCAAGCCCCAAACAGAATTCTCTCATCAGTGCCCTCCAGTAAATCAGCATTACCCATAGCCATTCAATTTGTTTTATTTATAGCAGTTTGATTTTCTATTACTATGGCTCCTGTTCTAAGAACTCTCCCACCTCTTCTGACATGAATGTAGCACAAATTAGCAGTTGGTTCTTCCAAGTTCCTGTGGGTTGACTGTGGTGTATAAGATATGCAACAAAAAAGAACAGAAAATAAATTCCTGCCTAAGAATTTGGAAGAGCTTTTACTAATACATCTAGCAGAAACTAAAATTTCACAGGCTATTAACTTGTTGCAAATATTCACTCTCACTTTCACCACTTTTTGGGAGAGAGAGGGGACAGTTTTTGTAGAGTTAACAG